CCTTTTTATTACAATCTGATTCGTCCATTCACTGATTAGCCGATTCTTTAATCAGCGGGTTCACTAATATGCCTATTCACTGATTCATTCCTTAATTGATTTCACCTTTAATCCATTCCCACACTCAATCAATTACTCATTTATTTCTTCATTCATTCAATCGATTACACATTAAGTCTCATTTATTCATTCAGTCACTCATTTATTCATTCAGTCACTCATTTATTCATTTAGTCACTCATTTATTTATTCCGTCTCTCAATTAAATATTCAGTCACTCATTTAATTATTCAGTCACACATTTATTAATTAATGTACTCAATCTATTCATTCAATTAATTATTCATTCAATCAATAGTCCATTCAGTCACTCATTTAATCAGTCCTTCATTCAAAATATAACTAAATAAAACATAAAGTGTCATTGTAACCCGAAATTTTAGTTGATGCTCGCTAACTAAATAAAAATCGTTAAATATTAAAAGACTTCATATCAATAATCATTATATGGGAAAATATCATTTGGTAAACTAAAAAAAGGAACTGTCGTCATAGTAACGGAAAGTATTAACTAGTGCTCACTCTTTAAATAACATCTAAAATTAATATCCACTCTCCTCAGAGTGATACAGGTAAAATAACAAAAAATAAACATAAAATAAAATCATAGGAAAAGAATAAATTTCAGTTATGAAACTTAATAAGACTAAACATTTCAATAATAATTTTACGGCATTTGCATAAAAAAACATTTTGCCGAAACAATTGTAAGTTCCGAGTTGTAAAAATTACTAAGTATTAAAAATAATTCAAATATTTTTCTTAGGTACCTTTTTTGTATCGCAAAATAAGTTTTTAAAAACGTATCTTTGTTCATTTGTATATATACTCATGAATTTTTAGAATACAATGTTCTGCAAGCGAATAAAAAAAAATACCGTCTTTTATTCTAAAATACATTCTTAATTTTTTTTTATTTTTTGTTCTTAATTTACATCTTCCTTTGAATAAATTTTTTCACTCCTTTTTTTATACTTAAAAATAAAACTTGAGCTCCAAATCTGAAGCAGCTCTTTGTTTTATTCTGAAACTTCAAACAAAGGTAATTAACTACATTATCACTGTTCGCTTAGTTTCTTAAATCTCGAACGCCTTATTTTATCTTTTGGCGTGTTTTCTTACTTCTTTTTTTATTCATTATTTTAACTTCAATTTTATTACTTTATTTACTTTATTTTCTTTTTCTTTCTCGTCACCTGTAGTTTTATGCCATCCAAAATTAAGACCCTACTTAGAAAAGCACGCTATTAAATTCTCAGTTTAAAAGAGAACTATTTATTCGTAAAAAGTTTTTTTCCCCACCGTCTTCACTTCGAATTTAACGACTAATGGGGTGCTTTTAAGCAATAAAAATTACATTTCAGCAAAGTTTTATATTTAAAGCTGTTTTAAAATTTTTACTATTTTACACCTATTCAATTTTCGTTTTTACCATTTTTTCTTCCCATTCTCAGATTAGAAAGTAATAATTATAGACTTTAAAATATTTTATAAAAATGTATAAAAAATTTCGATTAAGATTCTTTTTTATAATCTAGTGCACAAATAGTAAATTTTAATCAATGATAGCTTACTCTAAGATTATTAGTTATTTTCGATAAATGTAAGCTTTTTAGCTTTAATTCTTAATTTACTTGAATTTTTAAAATTTGATGCGATAACTGTTGATCTCATGTTTTCAAAATTATTAGAAACCATTTTTTTTCTGAAGTTAACATTATAGTTATTTTTTAGTATTTAAAAATTCATGCGTTTGAGTTTCTTGTACAAGAAGGCAAAACGTTTGATAAAATTACCATAATGTATAGTGAAGACTTTTCTGGTAAAAAAAAAACATAATTCTGACATTAAAACCTTTATCCTCAGAGTCTTACGTTTACAAAATTTTTTCCATTTTACATCGATTTAATTTATAAAAATAATTATATCTTTTCCATTTTTTTTCTTTCCAATTTCAGATTAAAAAGTGAAATTTTTAGGCTAAGTCACTTTAAAATATTTTATACAAACATGAAAAAAACATTTTTATAAGAATTTTTTTAATTTAATCTAGTACAAAAATTATGCGTTTAAGTAACTGGCTTTCAGATTTTTAATAATTCTGAATAAATTTAATCATTTCAGCTTTAACTTTTAACTTACCGAAATTTTCTAAAATTGATTTATAGAAGTTAGCGTTGTTTTTATTTTTATTGTTTAAAATGCGAAAAATTATATATTATAAAACTAATTAAGTACAAGTAATAAATAAAATTCATTTTTAAATAAAATTAGTTTTTTATGTTTAAAATTCTGCAAAAGTGTGGTTTTTATCAATTAATGTTTTGTAATGGCCATCGCTTACATCGGATTTTGACTCAACAGAATTATTAATTCAAAACAATTAATACAAAAATTGTACTTCTGAACAACTGACTTTCAGATTTTTAAGAATTTCTGTTGAATTTAATGATATTGACTGTAACTTTTAACTTATCGAAATTTTCCAAATTTGACATTGTAGATATTATGTTTAGTCATTCAATTTTTAAAAGCAAAATTGAAGTTAGTATTGCTTTTTTTTTATTCAAATAGAAAAAACATTATAAAAATTAATTTACTGTAAGTTATTAATAAAGTTTATTTTTAAGGGAAGTTATTTGTTTAAATTAAAAATTCTGCCGAAGTGTGGTTTTATCAACAGATATTAATGCTTTGTAGTAGCCATCACCTCATCCGGATTTAGATTTTAAAGAATTACAAATTTTAAAAAAAAAAATTGTGCATTTAAATAATTGACTTCCAGATTTTTAATAATTCCTGACAAATTTAACCTTTCCGACCTTAACTTTTAACTTACCGAAATTTTTTAAATCTGACTTTTGCTTCTTATTCATTGCTTAATTTTTAGAAGCCAAATTATTTTACTGAAGTTAGCATTGCTTTTATTTTTAATAATTAAAATGCAAAAACAATTTATGATTAAAACTAAGGAAGACCAAGTTATTAATAAAATATATTTTTAAATAAAATTAATTTTTTAAACTCAAACATCTGCAAAAGAGTGTTTTTTATAAAGAAATTTTAATGTTAATTACTTAGGCCGGATTTAAACTAGATGAGCATAAGAGGACACTTTTCCAGCACGGTCTATGAAAAAAAGCTAATGTTTTTCTTTAAACTACTTAAAAACTGAAATAAAAAAGTTTAAGACATAAATTGCATCCAGAATATATTAGAATATTATTTTTTCAATGGAAATTCGTTCCTTTAAAGATAAAAGAAGCAATAAGAAAACAGGCTAATTTCTTTTTTCAATTATTTATTTGGAACATTTTTCACCTTTTTTAATGATTTTAGTGTCTATATTTTAGTCTGCTAATTTTTGTTTTCTTTGAATATATAATTTATTCTGTAAAAAAAACTAAATATTTATTATTGAAGTACTACAAATTACCAGTGCTCTTTAATACATCTTAAAATATTTAAAATGAAATTATTTTTTTTTAACTTGTGCCTACACTTTTAAGACTAAGTGTTGACATTATTACTACAAAATATTTTTTAAAAATTTATGAAAATATATGATCAGATTTATTTTATAAAATAATGTAAGATTTTTCTCAATAGAAATACGCTTGAAATAGTTTAGAATAATTTCGATTAAAATAGTTTATATAATCGATTAAAACGCAAAAATTGTGCACTTTGATCGATGAATCCCTGACTTCCAGAATATTAGTAATTTTTGTTAAGTTGAAGTATTTTTAAACTTATGCGTTTTACTTCATTTTATAACCGACGTTGAACAGCCGACCCAATTTTGAGTTTACGACTATCAATATTCAACTCCGTAACCTTGTAATTTCTAACGCAATCAAGAAGATAAGTAACTATTGGATTAAGCATTGGGACAAACTAGCTTTCGCGGAAAACGTTTTTGATGGAACTAACTCGTTACATGGGGAAGAAAACCACGAAAACCTCCAAAATTGATGCCTGACTCTAAGGGGACACTAACCCATGGTCCGTCTACCACTTGGAATATTTTACTTCAGCACTGTGCCGAGTGCAGAATTCGTATCGACCATCCATCACTGGGGTTCGAACCCGGGTCACCTCATTCAAAAACAAGCAATCTATCCATTAAGCCACAATGGCGAAACATAGACATTGTAACAGTTAATAGCATTTCTTACAAGCCAATTTTTTTTTGGAGACATTTTCTCAGTTCTAAATAAACATTGTTTCCTTTTCTTCAAGATTTTTGCAGGTAAAGAATTATAATGGCTTATTAATAATTTCCTACTACTAAAAGTAGCTTTTTAACCACGGTGCATAGCGTTTTTAAAAAGTTCTTAAGGGTGCTTATTTTCGTTTTTTAAAAGCCCTTAAAGGTGCTTTTTACATTGAGTGTTTTTAAAAAGTGCTTCATTTTTCCCTTTTTCAAAATGAGATTTTTCTTTTACCATATGTTGATTTTCGCTTCGAATTATGCAAAAAGACACAGTTCACATTGTTCTATTCAACGTTTTCACAATGAATTCAACCCCAATCTATTTAAGCGCATTGTCAATTCGTAGCGTATAAAAACGCGATTCGTTTCACATGAATCAAAATTTCATGATTTTTGACAATTGTCAAAAACAATGCCAAAAGGTTTTTTTTGGACATGACGGTTAAAACAAGATAAAACCGTCAATTGTCAAAAACTTTCCAACTCTGCCTAATTATGATATTTTTTTAAAGTGCTTGAAAATATTTTTTTGAGTGCTTGAAAAGTGCTTAAAAGATGCTTATTTTTTGTTGAATAATTTGGCTACGTACCCTATTAACGCTTTTTCGTCAATCCTTTTTTTTTTCTATATTTACTATTTAAATGATATTTTAGAACTTATTGCTTATTGTTTGTATTCCCATTTCAGTGATCACTAAAACTATTCTTAAAATTTTATTTACAGAAGATCAAGTACCAATCGGTTTCCCAAGATTCACCATACAACCTCAGATCCAGGGTGTCGAAAAAGGACGCAATGCCCTTCTACCCTGCAGGGCAGAAGGCACCACCCCTATTACAATCAGGTGGTTAAAGAGTTACATCCCAGTGGATATGAGCGAACCTCGATACTCTCTTGTTCAAGGATGTAAGTAACATTTCAGACTCCTTTTAGTTATACAAAGTATAATAAGTTTAGTCCGTCTTTAGTAATGTTAGATGGTCTGAAACCACTTGCTTAAACCCTTCCTTCTCGCACCCGTGATATTTCCGGGCTGGAGTGTTCAGTAGTAACGCGCCAATCGGAATAAAACTATTTCATTTCTTTTACCCGGAAAACATTTTATTTCTCATTTTACACACCAGATGGCAGTACCAGGATATTTTTAAGGTAATTGTAGATAGTTAGTTTATTTTAAACTAGATGTCAGCACTAATCAGAGATACAGGGATAAAAAAAATAGGCACTTTTATGACCGTTTTCTTGGAAATTAACCAATTGTTAAGAGGTTAACTTTCAAACAGCTTCAACTATATTAAATAAATGTGTCCCTTGTTATAAAGTTCTGCTAAAGTTAATGCCTTATGGGCATTAATGATACAAAAGGACATTTTAAATTCGCACTTGTTTTTATCAGAAATTCCTACAGTGTGACTTGAGGCAATAATTGATATAAAAAATTTTTAAAAAAAAACTATGCTCGCAGCAAAGCTAACCGTTTAGAGTGATTAATACAGTAAAAGCCTGTAAAAAAGGGGGGTTGTGAATTTTGTAACGATTGTGATAAACTTAACTCAATACATTTTTTTTTACTTATTTTAATATTTTTTTATCATGTTACAAATATAAAACTTAAAAAATATTAGCGCTCATATAATACAGTGTTTATAGTTTATTTTTGAAACTTAATCCATAAATTGCCGCACGTATAAGTTGAAAACAAATCTTCCAATTTTAATTCCGTTTTGATTTTTTTTAATTATATGAATGCAATTTTCGTTGCATGTTAAATTATTTCGATCGATTTTTAAAAATAAGTTTTTTTAAAAATAAGATAATAAATTTTTTCACAAAATGGCGTTTTAAAAAAAATCAAAAATATGGCATAAAGTAAGTTTTATTTTTTTAGATTACTTAAAACCATACATTTATTGTGAACAATGTGTCATAATTTGAAATAAATCGATTGAAAATTATCTTAGTTTGAGATACAATTAGTAAGAGAAGCATTGCTTCGTGTGATTAACTTTAATTTTGAAGCTTACTTACCTTTGAAGTTTTGTGATCAATAATCCATATAAATAAGTAAAATTTTGCATCAAATTACAATGCATCAACACCAGGTCCATGAGATGCTTCTTCTCCGTCAGTTTCAGCCGTCTCATGTGATAGTCTAACCCTTTTTTTTCTTGTCGATCTACCCTCATGTGGCATCTCATTTGCTTTTGGAGTAGCAATCGAAATTCTGAGATTGTCTTCGTTTTGAGCATACTCTTTGCTGCTTGATCTATTTATTTTTAATTGTCCCAAAACTGCCAATGAAACTTTGCAAGCTAAATACGTTTAAAGTTCCATTAGATCATTTTCTTACACAATTCAAGCAAATTATTTCAATGAAATAGTTAAAAGAATAGTATTTTACTAAAATATTTTGATAGGAATGTGCTAGTTTATTAATAAATTGAGCTTTCAAGTTCACTTGTTCATGCATGTCACAGCACGTCCGGCGTCGCACTTCATTCTCGACATATTCTGCTGTAACTTTTCCATTTTTGCGAAAATCAATTCAATATTTTGGTGCAATAATCTTAAAAAGGCAAACTATCAAAAAATTGAATAATTTCTTTTTTCGACATTTTAGAATGGTTTGTCGAATAAGGCTTTTTATCGCTAAATTTGTCGCTACTTTTTAAAATTTAAAAATAACTCATGTTGAATATACGTAGAATATAACATTTTTCTACCTAAGGTCTGTGTGCCCTAAATACGACACAATTTACTATTGTAGCATATAGGACAAGCTCAATCTTTTATTGGATATACTTAAATATAAATAAAGTATTACAACTTCTAAATTGAATTATTAAAGCAAATTTTTCGTGCTGAAATTGAATTATTGTCTATTACCTAAGCAAAGATTTTTCATTGTCGCATTTAAGGTAACAATCAGTCCTTTTGAATGCGGCGCTCATGAAACGTAAATGCGGCAGTGCATTTTTACAACGTTTTTATTCACTTGCTATTGTATTTCTAACAATGAAAGCTTGCTATCGAAATTTCGAACGTTTTTCGATAAGCTAGAAGCACGAAGAGAATACGATAAGTTTAAATCGCGATAAGTTCCATGCACGAAGAGAATACGATAAGTTAAAATCGTTTCATGATTAAACTTATTTATTTATTTATTGTCAATTTTTCGCAAAATTGAGTTTATCGTCAATTGAAATTCCATTTATCGTCATTTTAAATCTAGCTAGAGTACTTAGAATAGAAGTGGAGCTCTGATTTGAATGACTGAGCAAATGCTCGAAGTTTTTTTTTTCCTGCTGTATGCAGAATTTTGCACGATATTATCGTCGAAGGGAATTTATAGTCAAGCAAAACTATGACTATAATATTTTAATTGCTAGCTATGATATTTTAATTGCAATTTTGTGTTGGATTACATTACATCATTTACTAATCACTTAGCATAAAATTTATCGTCATTTTAACAAAAATTTAGTTTATCGTCAATTAAATTTCCAACCATTTTGAGCCTAGCTGGAATACTTAAAATACACAACAGTTACTCATGACTGTTATAGGTCAACTTTAGTTTATCTTTAGCCGGAGTTCTGAAAATGACACAAAACGTCTATATAGACAGGGTGCTTAGCGTTATTAAAAAATGCTTAAAGGTGCTTATTTTCGATTTTCGTTTTTTAAAAGCCCTTAAAGGTGCTTTTTTCTATGAATGTTTTTAAAAAGTGCTTAATTTTCCCTTTTCCGAAATGTGATATTTTTCTTTACCATGTTGATTTTCGCCAGAAATTATGCAAAAAGACATAGTCCTATTCAACTTTTGCGTAATTAATTCAACCCCAATCTATTTCTACTTACCGCCGGTTTGTAGTGTATGAAAGCACAATCTGTTTTATATGTTTGATGAAATACTTGCGGGTCCGCACTTGCATATACTGAGCTGGATTCAGTGGTAAGGATTTTTGACTTTCATGTGCAACCCTGTTGCATTTTGCTAGAGATTCTTCATTTTCTGCCCTCTGTAATAGAATCGAAAGATCTCTCGAATTTTTGCTGATTTATACGGGGACCAACTAAACATTGTCAATTTTTTTCTCTATTAGTGATAGAAAATTTCATTTCTCTTGTTAATTTCATCGTTTGTGCCACGCCATCGTCTTCGTCACTGTAAATAAAACCATCAATTATCAAAAACTTGCCAACCCTGTCTAATTATGATATTTTTGAAAGTGCTTAAGAATACTTTTTGAGTGCTTGAAAAGTGCTGAAGAAGTGCTTATTTTTGTTAAAAAATGTGACTGTGCACCCTTTGTTAAATGCAAAACCAGGTCCTTTTTTTTATTAGTAATCAATTCTTTACAATCATCGANCTATTTTGGCCCAAGTACGTACAGTAATATGTTATTTGATTAATTTAATTAAATGATACGCTAATACTTATTAATAGTTAATAATTAACATATTTTGATATCAAAATGTGTGTAAGTTAATTTAACAGTATCAATAAAAATCTCATAGAAATCTGCTTCAGGTTTATTAAATAGGATTAATCCGTAACAAGAATTTATGTTCGTAATACACTCAACTTCATTCTTCATTGCAGACTTAATGACTTTTCATTTTCGAACAAATCTCTCTATTTAATCCAACAACGAAATAAACGAGTTCAACTTTTAATCTATTCCGCATATTCTTGTTCATTAAAGTCTGCTTCTGTGAACAAGTAATTAACTTTTCTAAAAATTTCATATGAATACATAATCAACTTTCGTCGGGGATGGCGAATATTTGAAAATTTTTAGATAGACTGTTAGGAATATTTTTCTAAAATGGCGACAGTGATAAAAATCGCCTTGACGGCCAAACTCCATTTAGAAAATTGTTACTTATGCGTCTTTTCCTGTCCAAAGTGAAAATGGCAGGTAACGGCCCGCTCCGGTTTGATCCGCAATAAATCCACTTTATCCAGAAGACAACGTAGTGGGAGTAGGAGTTATTTAAAATTTATGCATTTGGCGGGAGATAAATTTACGGAGCTCGTTTTGGAACAGGTTGTGACGAACACAAAAGAGTACGCCAAAAGCATGGGTAAAATGGAATAATCTATTCAAGTTCACCACGTTAAATTCTTCATATTTCTCTTCGAGTTGCATCTTTATCAATTTCTTTTAAGAGATGAAACATTTTTCATTTTACGAACGACAAAAATGAAACAACTGTGTTTCGTATTTGTTCGTAATTTGAATATTGTTTACAACATGTCATTTCTCCTACTTTTTCCTGGAAAATATCGATTGTGTAATTATCTTTGCTTTTGGAAGCGGCATCTTGTGTCAATTGTCATTCTTTTGTGTTAGAGAATATTCTTTTTAGAAATGTAGAATGAGTTTTATTTGTGAATATTTGATGTGTGTTTTATTTTGCATTCCCCAAGCTAAATATAGTGCCGCTGTATAAATTTGAGCATTTATTTTAAATAAATGTTTGTGGATATGTTTGGAAATATTTTGAATTTAAATTATTTTTATTGTTCAAGAAAATATTAAAAATATTTCTATCGTAGGAATATTTTTTTCTGGCTTTGTCGCCATATAAAATAAAGTTTTTGAACGAATACTATGCTACCTAAATTACAACTGTTTTGATTATTTTACTGTTATTCACGACTACTGGATTAGGTTTTGTTTACCTTTAGTTAGTGCCCTCTATGAAAATAGTGTCAAAAAAAGCGTTAGTGGCCTAATCTTTTAATAGTTGAAGAGTTACCCGAGCACTTCCTTTTTAGGTCATAAAAATTAAAAATTATTGATTTAAATAATCTTTCTTTGATGAAAAATCTCCCTAATTGGTGCAATAAAAGAAGAAGAAAATATTTTTTTAAATATTTAAGCTATTTACTTTAATGTTCTGACAATTCTTTTCAACCACATAGTTTATGTAGAGTCATGGTGGCTCATGGGATAGAGCATTCGCTTCCCTTGTAAGTCGACCCAGGTTCGAATCAAAGAGGTGGCTTGTAGATACGAAATCTGTTCCCGTCTCGCACCAACCACAGTGCTGACGTACATTTTCCTCAGTGGTAGATGGATCATGGGTTAGAATCCCCTTGCCATCAGGTTACCCGCAGGAGGTTTTCATTGTTTTCCTCTCTATGTAAGCAAATGCGGGTTAACTCCATCAAAAAAATCTCCCACGAAGGCTAGTTTGCCTCAATGCTTTGATCCAAGAGTTCCCTTGTCTTCTGGAATGGGCTAAAAATTACAAGTCTACGGAGTTGAACATTGTTAGTCTTAAACTCAGAATTGGGCCGGCTGTTCAACCACGGTTATAAAATAATTATAAAAAAATTTGTAGTTTAAAAATAAAGCTTATCGAGTTTTAAGACACTAAAAGTAAGGCTTTTGCTTTGAATAAGCTGTGAAAATACCCTTAAATAGCTCTTACATATTTCTAAACTCGCTTTCTTTTTAAAATATATTGCGTATAATCTGTCCCTTTTCTGGAACAAACGTTTGCACCAGTTAATATATTTTGACGTTATTCTAAGTTATTTTTAATTTTATTATTTATCGCTTGCGTTTTTCATTTAGTTAACATTATCCGCGCATGCGCAATATGGAAGGACTATTTTAAACGCCCACATCTTGCACCAGTTTTTACAATTTTTATTTCTAATTTTAAAAAGGACATTTCTGTTATTTATTAAAGCTTCGAAAATTATGTTTAATTTTATTAAATACTTATAGAGATTTTTTTTTTTATTTCCAATGGCAAAAGAAAATGACAAACTCTTACAAAATCAGTGAACAACAAGTAAGAGAAAAAAGTCACTATCTCATTAATAGATGTCGGGCACTCCAGTAGCGCCTCACCTCAGAGTCCCCACGCAGAGCCGAGCATCTCAATAGATGGTTCCTGTCCATAAGTTCATTATTCGAGCATAACGNACATTTCTGTTATTTATTAAAAATTGCTTCGAAAATTATGTTTAATTTTATTAAATATTTTTAGAGATATAATAGGAAAACGAAAGGCAAAATAATTAGTTTTTATGAAAGTGTCCATATCTCCACGAATATTTAAATGTTTCCAAAACTAATCTATCTAGGTTTATAAAACTCTAAACAGTTATTGCATATGCATATTAACCAAATTAATCGATGCAAATTACAAACTTATTGCAACATTTTCAGATATAGTATGGAAAAAAAAAACTCTTTTTCTTCAGTAATTTATTGCCGATCTGTCAAACCTGTGCAAGCTTTGAACTTTCTTTATAACCATGAGAAATTGAATGATCCAAAAACCTGTAAATTTATAAAATAATTCTCTAAGTATTTCTTAAAAAAATTTTAGCAAATTTCAAAAACTGAAAGTGTCCCATTGTTGCAGGGTAGTGTAACTATAGCTGTTATGCTAATCATTTCTTTTACCGTCATACATCCGTTTATAAACTGTCGATTCTGTTATTTTACAGTATTTAATATTTGGTATTCCAAAATATTTTTGTAAGTAGCTTATTCAAAAGTAAAACTTTTATTCTAAGCTAGGATAAAATTAGCTGTTTTCGCTTATACAAATACATATTAAGATTTGAAGTTGATAACATTAAAATTTCCAACATTGCAGATTACGTTGTTTTATTCTAAAATCACATTTGGCTACAAAATAAGTTATCGTCTGCGATTTTATTTGCAAATTGTATTCCTTTCCCGTCATTTTATCGTTTTAAGCTTTCAAGAACACAGCCGGGCTTAAGGATTTGCCTGCGGAGAAAATTTTTCAAACAACTTCCATTTAACGCCCTCTGGCGGCCTCATTCGTACTTAAGAAACTCCATTAAATTTCTTTTGATGTATTTCTTCTTAACTTTGACAAATCGCCTCTTTCACTTTTTTGCACTCGCACTGTAAAAGGTGGGAAATGAAAAAAAAAGGGTATAGGGGGTGGGGAATTCTGATTAGAGATGCGTTGTGTAGTGTGTGTTCTAGGGGGTGGTGTGGTGATGGTGTAGTTCCTCGTTTATCATCATTAGGGTCATTTCTAAAAGTGAAAAACCATCTTGCAAAAAGACTTTCGCGTGAAGAAAAAATTTTCAACGAGATAACACTTCTTTTACCCTCATCATTTCCTTGATTTTGTTATTCACGGCGCCATGTTTCATTTGAGACAGATGGATTTAAATTAGATTGGAAAATAAGAGTAAAAACTGAGCATTATTATATACATATCAAGGATATTTAAATCAATATGAAAATAAGCCAGTGGCGATTTTTATTGTGATCAAACGATAATGTAAAGAAGTGGCTTCCAAATTAATCTAATTTATCTCCCATACTGTGCAGCGTTTATTAAAGCTGTAAAAGTATAAAAGTAGCTTATAAATTAATCAAATTTATCATGTATAGAAATATTGATAATAGTAAGGAATTTAGTTCTTCCAATTTAGTTGTAATTATCTTCTATAAAAATTCCAATATGTAACGTTTTTTAAAGTATTTACCGTTATGAAATTAAAAAAAGCTTCAAATTTGATCCCTTTTAACATAGTAATATTATCAACATGTAAAGTTTATCCAAGATGTGAAAGTAAAGAAATGGCTTTTATCTTAATTCAATTTATCACAAATCGAATTATAATAAGTAAAGTTATTTGAAGTTGTGGATTGAATAAAATGTAGCACTTTATTTATGTTTTAATGGGAAATGCATTTAAATGTATTATCGTAATTTGCAGAACTTGAAATATATCGTTGTATATTAATTTTTTACCCAAAAACTGCCGTGATGTATTCTCTGAGAAATTTCTGTAATGTTCGAAGAGTTGGTTATTTATCTATACGGCCAGCTTCCTGCTTTGATAAAAACAAAAAATCCCGTACCTGTTATTGCAATGAACTCCTTGAAAATTAATAGAGTCGACCTTTAATTTATACGGTTATTATATACAACTTCTTAACTCTGTTCGGAGATATGCGCCCTTTTCCTTGGTGGTTAGAGCAACAGGCTACGGACAAAAAGGTCCCTTGTTCAAACTCAGTCTGCTCCAAAGAAAATCTCGCTCTACATTGGTGACCACGAGCAACAAACACGCCTATCTCTCACTCCTCGACGGATGGCAGCGCTACACTATTTCGTCTAGGTCCGTGGTTCGTCTTGATTTGGCAAGCAAATCGTCTTGAGTAACGTCAACACTTAACTGAGATTAACTTTTCGAGCCGACCTGTATTTTTATGGTCATGATAGTTTTACGGTCATGCATTTATTTTATATTCAGTGACTAGAATACTTATTGCTGGTTCCTGACCGTAATCTAACAATGAAATTTTATGAGAATGTATTAATACGATTCAGAAAACGATTTCAGAAATCTGCCATTTTAAGGATTATTTTCTAAGAAAAATGTGTTCTTTTCTTCACTTTATCATTTTTGAATGAAATTAAGCATTTTGCAGGATTCTATTTGAATTCCAAGGAATAGAAATTAAATAGAAATAGATTTTAAGCTTTTCAATATATGAAGTAATTTTAATATGTTTCGTAATGTATTCAAAGAAGAAAAACGATGTTTGAGTTTTATAAACTACAACAAAAAGCCTCTTTTTTTTAATGTCTTCTGCTTGTATATTTAAAGAAATATTAATACGGACATTATGTTTTTCTCAATCTTTCTGTTATTTCGAAAATCAAAATGCTAGGGAGATAACAACTCAAACGATTAGAGAAGTAACATTTTTTTTCTCCAATTGTTAAGCATCATATAACTAGAAAATAAATCATGTAAATATCTGAAGGGAAAAAAATGCTCACATAGTTGGAGAAATAACTGTATTCATATTTTAATTATCTCAGTGTTTCTCTAGTCCTAATCTTTAAAGCTCGAAGAGATTATAAAAATAAAAAAAATAACAAAATAAAATAAGTACAAAATAAAATTCCTCCACTCAGGGTGGGTGTTGATACCCTGAGTAATTTTTACAGTAAAATCTATTTTTACAATAAAATTTTAGAGAACAAAAAAATCTTATTTGCCATAATTTTAACAGTAATATTTACTTTAAAATCACTAAATCACTGTAATTAATTAAATATTACTGTAAAATTTCAAGGTAAAAACGAATTTTATGGTAAAATTGAATTAGAGATGCTGCACACACTTTTTTACAGTAATTTGATCCGAAATTGCATTGAACTTAATTTATTACTTAAGATAACCTATAAAAATGAATTATTTTTTAGACCTTAGTGTTGCCAATTTAAATGGAGAAATACCCGCGTTTTTGTTGCCACTTTCGAGAAATAAATAAATAGATTAAAAATCATATTTTTAACCTAAATTAACATAGTATTGAAAATAATTTGAACAAATGACACCTTATCTTTATAACTGTTAATTTGTTTTTCAGCCTCTCTACAGATCATAGAAGCCGAAGAAGATGATCAAGGTAGTTACGAATGTGTTGCTGACAATGCGAGAGGAACAGCCGTTTCAGGGCCTGCTACACTTTACGTAAGAGGTAATTGTCGTCGTGATTTAATAACAACATTTGTACTTTAATTTTAAATAATTTAAACGGAATGCTTGGAATTTATTATTATTGAAATAATTTTCACCTTACATTTAATGTGAACAAGTTACTTTTGTTTTACCTGTAATGATGATACGTGGAGCTTAAAATGCGACAATTTGAAGTTAACTAATAACTTTTTTCAAATATCTTTATTTTTTTCTGATGTAATGATAATTAAATTCTAATAATCTAACATTATAATGTTCTCATTCGCACATTTAGCTTTAAGTAAAAAGCTTCCAAAAATCAATACATTAAATTAATTATTAACTCAAATTCCTAAAGATATTAACTATATAGGATTGTGCTACTTACTTCATCATTTTTGTTTAAGATGTTGACAGCATATCTTTGTTTTTTCCTTGAGAAAATGGGATCATGCATGCACAAAGTGACTTAAACATAATTTTACCTAAAATAAAATTGAAAAAATAAAAGCGAAATTTTAAAAAAATTTGCCTTTGGAACTTCTTTCTCCCATTTAAAATGAGGAATTTTTGGCACAAAACACATCAAAACTTCATAAGCAAAAACGTGACTTAAGTCGTTTGCCGTTACTAATAGAAAGTCCTCCACGAAGGCAAATTTCTCCCAATGCTTGATCCAGGAGTTCCCTTGTCTTCTGGATTGGGTTCAAAATTACAAGGGTACGGAGTTGAACATTAGTAGTCGTAAACCCAAAAAAATTGGATTATAAAATACAAAACGGCGGTTATAAAATATATGAACTGGTGATATGATTTTTCAAATTTGCAGAAATTGCTACAAATATAATTCTGATAATCTAACATATTTTTGAATTTGAGTGAAATAAAATTCAAACTACATTTTTTTAATTTATTTTATTTTTTACTACAAATATAATTCTGATAATCTAACATATTTTTTTAGTAACTATCATACTGTTTTTTGTTTTGTTTTTTTGTAATTAAAAAACACCAAAATATATCTTTGCTTGTAATTAGAGCATTCGAAAAATATATAAAATGGTCACCGGTGTCCCGTCTGCGTCAAAGAGTTAAAGAGATAAAAACTAATCTGCAATTTTTTTTCTTTTTTATAGTTCGGAGAGTGCCTCCTTATTTTTCTATACCCCCTGAACCAGTATATGAGGTAATGCCGGGTTCGAACCTCAACATCACTTGTGTAGCTGTGGGGTCACCGATGCCCTATGTCAAGTGGAAAAAAGGAATGATGGATCTGACTTCTGAACATGATATACCAATTGGAAAAAACGTTCTACAATTGACTGATGTCCGAGACAGTGTTAACTACACGTGTGTTGCGGTTTCTAAGTTAGGCAGTATAGATGCTGTCACCCAGGTCCTTGTACAAGGTACGGGTTAGTACACTATCATACTTTGAATGTGTGTATCAGTGGCTTTAGTATGCTTTCTATTTCGGCTGTAGTTTTGGTAAATTAATTTTGATGTATTTCGTTTGTGTTGATAAATATGTTAAAAATAACCTTCTTCTTTCAGATCTAGTTCAGTAAGTAATTCCGGAAAAATTGCGGCAGTTTTATTGCCCAGATTTTTCCCACTCGTCACACAATGTTCACTGTTTTTAAAGTTTTATTCCACTATTTTAAGACTAAACACTTAATTCAGGTGATTGCTAAATTGTCAAAAATGACGAAATACAGCTTGAGGATTGCTAAATTATCAAAAATGACGAAATACAGCTTGAGGATTGCTAAATTGTCACAAATAACTATATTCAGCTAAAAGATTGCTACATTATCCAAATTAAAGAAAAACAGCTCAAAGATTGCTAAACTGAGAAAAATATCGAAACACAGTTTAAAGATTGTTAAATTGTCAAAAATACCAAAAAACAGCTCCAGAATTGCTATGTTGTCAAAAATAACGAAATAAGGTTGCTAAATTGACCAAAACAACAAGTTCAAAGATAGCAAAATTATTAAAAATATCAAATAAAACTAGATTTTGAGAAAAACCAGAATATAATAAAACCGGAATTGAAAATATAATAATTGAAATAAAACCAGATAAGATTGTGAAATTGTCGAAAATAAGAGCTTCAATTCTGAAAGTGATGTAACAAAATTTTTTAGTAAAGATTATTATTTTGTATATGTATAATGGAAACTAACTGCAAACACTAAGTCTATAATTTATTTCTTTGTAATACTCTCATCAATATATCATTAATTACAATAACTAATACACTTTTGCTCGCCAAAGTACCGTTATATTATCTCATTTTAGGTTGTTAACCACTAATCGTTTCCCGAATCAAATTCGATATACTATTTCATTATTTATTCGATATACTATATAAATGAAACTGTTAGTAATGGAATAGTAAACTAGTTGGTCCTAAACTTTTTTTCGTAATTTTTGTGATTCGTTGCGTTCAGATTGATCGATTTTAACTCTCAATCTCAAAATCAATGGCCAATTATTGCATTTCTTTGCAGCATCATTAAGTGCTGTAATAGGGCGTCTTATGCAATAAATTATTGAGTAATTTATACAAATGTTTGTTTTAAAAGCTAAATTAATTTATTTGCGAGAGTGACACTATTGGTACTCCACCCTATAAAACCTCATATAATGCACAAAATATTACTTTCTTTTCCGATCGTGGACTGATCTTTTTTTCCCGTCTTAGTCCTGCAGTGGACTGATCGTAAATACACGGTTCCCAGCGAAGCACCGAATTCAAGCATCACTCGCATCGGTCAGTAGCCGGTGGGTGACCACTTTGATGAGCCTGCGTAGGGACCAAGGGTGTGTGGTATCGGTCCACGTGAAACTGTTCTACCATAATGTGCTAGACTCCGGGCACAGGGACCAAAGCAGGGTAGCCATCACCTCTGTAGAGGATCAAAATTGCGATGACATGTCTTCGGATCATCCTCAGGGATGTTTTTAGACCGTCACCAATAGCCCATTGTGCAGCTGTAGTACGATGTAAATAAAGTACCTACTTATCTTTTTTTTTCTTCTTAATAATGAAAGCATTCATTTTAATTGAATTCAGTAAATGTTTACAACTAAGTGTCATTATGAGATAACTTATTATTACTTATAAATAACTTATTATTCTACACTTAATTATTTATTACCTATTAAGTTGTGAACAATCATTTTAACGCGAATTTATACCCGATTATTAAAAGTAGAGCAAAGCATTCCGGCAATAGCCGATTGTGGGCCAGGAAGGTCATGGAGGTTAGGACTCCACAATTTCGTAGCCAACATGATTGTGGTAATAACGTTGGCCCTGCGCATAGGACACCTTTACTTACCAGCCGGTACCCATTCATCTAAAGCTGGCTGGGCTTCAAGCCGCCACTGGAGATCGAACCCCAGTTCTTCACAATAACAGGGAAGTGCTCGATTAATAAATTTCTTAAAACAAATCACAAATATTTGCAGATATCTTAAAAAATGAACTGTTAGCTTCTTCATATCTATATATACGTCTGAATGTTTCATATCTAATCTATATGTTTTGAATTATTGAGCTCTAAAATATAATATATTCTAATGCTTAACAATGCACAAAGAGTATAAAACTTCCATAACACACAAACCATATATAAAGATGACAAGTGAAAAAGTATTATTAGAATCTTTACGCTTCACTTAAGAACGTCTTTAAAACACCAAATTGCACTCTGAAATTCGTAAAACTAAAATTAATTCCTAAATGCTCTGTTACTTATAATACAGTACCGCAGGAATATCCCTAGATATGCTTAATTTGCCATGCCTATTACGTTTACATGCTATTTTCATATTTTTGCTAATGTCATGATTTCGGTCTATTAAACTCTGTTATATCACCCTAGCAACGCTGGTTAATCGTCACTATTACTATTGAACCGTGAAAGCATAATTAGTATCAGTTAAGCTTACCTATTAAATAATATTATTGTTAAAGTTTTTAGGGTTATTAATCGAAAAAATAGCTGGTAATTGTTATCAAAATGAGCTTTTTTTTTTATTGTGTGCACCCAAAATACAAGTTTAACTTAATAGAAATACCAACTTAATAGTAATACCGAAACTCCAACGTTTAGAGAGGGAACGTAATAGTTATTAAAAACGCAATTAAAATACTTGATTCATTATAGTGATAAACCAGTGTTATTTCCAGATAAGTACTAAATAATTTCCACCAAATAATACAATAAATTTCAGAAACATCGTAAATCTTGCATATAAATCGCTTTTTCTNTATTATTATTATTACATTGCAATATGTCTTCAATTAAACTTACCTTATAAATGGACAAGTGAAGATATTAATAACAGGTATTTCATCTCGAAAATACATAATGAAATAAGATTTTTTTAAGAACATTAAGCTCAGCATTTATGTGTATTTGTAAAATATTATATTAAAAGTGGATAATGCTGCGTTTAATGAAATATAAAAAAAGGAGAGGAGATGTTCTCAAAAGTCCTTAAAAAGATGAAAGAAGAGAAAAGAAATCAAAAATAAATATTTTGAAAATAAACCATTCGTCCACTATGATTAAAAATATAGTATTATATATATCCAACTACTTGAACCATAATATCATGTCAATATACTGAAACTGTTACAATACATAAGCGAAACACATCTTAATTGAGCATTTTTTCTTAATTTTCCCGATATTATTGTTCAAATTACTTATGAACTGACATTTCTAAAAGTGTAAATAAAGCTTTAATATTGAATTATCACATGTGAAGCAAAACTTTATATTGTCTTTTGTAACTAAGCTGAGTGCTAAATATACTTAAAAATAAAAATATAATTTTTTTTTTTTTTTTTTGCTTAATAGTTAAATCGGAGAAAAGGTCGACATATTTCAAACGCTCAAAATACAGCGCTCCTCATCAAAAATATCTAGATAGATAGATGAATATTCTAGTTTTAATGTGTTATCTTCCGAGGAAGGTCGAGTTTTGAGTGCTAGAAACAAGTCGACCTTTCTTCCTTTTTATCTAAGTAGAAAAGGAATTTCTTTATAACATATTATTTACTTTAATTTTCTTGAGATCATTCATTTCAGGTTTTATATATATTTTTAAACTGCCTTTTGTATGATTAGTAAAAGTTAAAATATTCAATTTATGTATTTAGCATTAAAATTATTCGCTCGACGCAAAATTGTGTAAAGAAAAAAAATCAATGAAAAGTAGAATTATGGCATACTTTCATTCCCATGTGACATAATGTAGTGTTTGAAACAGCTATTGGTAATAATTCCCAATTTAAAACACAAAATATTATTAAAAAATAATATGTACCAAAAAGTAATTTAATTCCTTTTGCATGGCTAATAAAAGTTAAGAGATTCAAGTCATGTATTTAGTTTTAAAACTATTTGTTCAATACAAAAAAACATGCATCAATAAAAAGTTGAGTTATGACATACTTTCATTCCCATGTGACTTAGTGTACTATTTGGAACAGTTATTGGTAATGATTCTCAACTTAAACCGCAACATGTTACTTGAAAATAACAGGTATAAAAAATAGTTCCATTCTATTTTAATTGTTACTATCTATTTTAATTCCAGCTTTACCTCGACCACCGACAAGAGTACAGATCTCTGACGTAACAGCCACATCTGTACGCATATCATGGTCGTATGATATTGGCTCCGAGAATATCATCTACTACGTTATACAATATAAGCCAAAGCTAGCCAACCAAGACTACAGTGAGCTTAGTGGCATCAATACCATGTTCTATACAGTACGAGACTTGACTCCGTATACAGAGTACGAATTTTACGTCATAGCCGTTAACGCCATTGGAAGAGGTAGTCCAAGTCAAGCTGCCGTTGTAACAACTGGAGAAACAGGTATGTGTTCATACTATCGTTTCTGTACACAATTTTTCTGAATTGGGAAATTGAAAAAATAGAAACCCATCAAGAGGATAAAAGAAAAACTCTACTTGGGGCTGTTTTTCGAATGCTCTGTCGTCACAAAACGCGTTTTTGCGATTAATATGCTATTTTCATAACTGTTTTCAGTTTACAATAGACATTCATGACCGTTCGATCACGGTTAGTCTATCTTTAATCATCGCCCTCTATGCATATTCTGAAAATGGTACATAATGTCAATATGAAGAAAGGCTGCAGTTTTGTGTAAACGAAGAACGTTCGTAATATTTTTTTTTCTTTTTAATATTTAAAAAGTTTTTTTTAACGTGGCATTATCTAGACTCGTAAGAATTTTCAAAAATGGAGTATTATTCGTTGATTTTTATAATTTTAATCTAAGCTGATAAAAAATCGCCAAATCGGCAATTTTCGAAAAAATTTAATAACTTATAAAATATTCAAGTTATTTTTCCGTTTTACAAATAATTCTTTACGACATGACGTTAAATATTGTTTAAAAATATTGCTTTGTCTCAAGTGTTAATGTTAAACTATAACTTTTTTATTTATTTATCTATTTATTTATTTTATTTTGGTGAAAGAGCTTCGAAAAATAATGTTCATTAAGCAAGCGTTTATTTATTTATTGTTTGATTATTTATTTGTCGGTTAATAATGATCCTCCATAAAAAAAAATATTGCAGTTTCAAGATAAAATTAGTTTAATAGACAATACAGACGGTCATGGTTTAACATTATTTCTCATATTAATGGTGATCTAAAAAATTCGCGAAAAACAATGAGATAATCATTTGCTGATGTTCTACTTTAGTTTGATATATACAGGGTGTTTCGTAATAACCCACCTTTATACATACTTTTAGAATACTTGTTAAAAAATTAAAGAAGAAAACCTACACATATTAAGGTCCCCATTGAAACGAGGATATAACAAAAAGAATTTCGAAATCTAATGCATACTACTTAAGGCCTGGTTTCTTAGGACAGGACGCCGTCAGCTTATTTATAACTTGATTTATGTAAAAATATATATATATATATTTCTCTCTCTTAAAAATCTCAACACTATTTTTTCCCACTCACAAATAAATACTGCTTTGGGATTACTCAAAGTTAGTTTATTTGTATTTAGTAATAACTAAAAAATATTATTGTCTTAAACTCAATTTTTAAAAGCCTTCTCACAGTTAACTTTGTTAAGTTTTAAGTAGTGAAAAAAGTATGTTGCCCATTATTCGCATTATATTATCTTACAATAATATTTTAAAATTATAAAATTTTATTTTTAAAAAATTCTTACATCATTTAAATGCATTATTTTTTTCTTATAAAACGTGCGTCTGATATAAATTGTTACATAAAAAATATGTCCCGACTTTCTTATCCTTAACCGAAATATATTTTTTCAGCCATATATTTCGAATTATTCCTTTCTAAATCCTACATTCCTTTCATCTTTACCGCTTGAGAAAATTTAATTTTGTTTTTATTTGTATATGTTTACAACAAAGCTACCAATCTACAATTCACCAATGGTTGAATTGTTGCCACGTATCAATCTATAAAGTTTTCAATAGAATTTTTCTATCGATCAATAAAACTATCATAGATAAATCTCTTTTCACAAAAAAGATAATTCCTTTCTTTCATTTCTTGGTGGTATTCATTTATAATAGGGATTTTTCCTTTTTTTCCCCCTATCTTTCTTTCACTAAGCAATTGACGCAATTCCTTTTCTTCTTTCTTTCTCTAGTGGACTCCTCAGGATCTAACAGTAAGTGTTCTCTATTTAGTATGCTTTTTCCCTACTTTTCCCTATCACTTTTCCCTTTTTTGCTGTATTTGAAAATCACTAGAAATTAAAAAAAGAAAACTCAGTTATCATCAGAATTTTAAGATTGATTGTGTTTTTAAGTAGTAAAATTAATTCTAATACAAAAATTTTTATAATAGCTGTAGAGAAATTAATAAATATTTTTTACCATATAATTATTTAATACTTATGAGACTCGGTTGAAAGGGTTGGCTAAAAATTACGGGTGATATAAAAAAAATCATTTTAAAAAAACTTAAGAAAGAATCTTACTGTGCTCTGGCAGCCAGCTAATTTCTTTCACGAAAGTTTTAAAATAAATCAACAGATGGCGCTGATAATTAGAAAAACAGCAAAATAATTATTTCAAAGTAAAGCAACGACGTCTTGCAATCTGAGAACATAATTATCTAACACCTGTGGTAAAAATTACAGTTAGGATGATCCGACATGGAGCAGAAAACGTTGTTTGTTTTTTTGGCAGCAGTGCCATCTGTGAATGAACTTCTTAACTAAATTTGAAACTTTTAAAGAATTAAAATCTGGTTTCTTAAATAGAAAATAGTAAAAGATTATTTCTCTAACGGTATAGTTATGGAAACTACATTTAATAATACAATATAGTTATAATATGTTATAAAACAATGAAATAACTATGTAGTTATAGCACAATATATGAATTTATTCATTTATCAATTTTCATGGTTTAAATCAAATTGAGTCCAAATCTTTAAACGCAGATTATTGGTCATTTTTTGAACAATCGGTACTTTTGTATACCCGAATCATGGTCACATTATATTCAGTTACATTCATTAAAATGTTACTAAAAAAAACAATAATTTTTATTTCTAATTTAATAAGTTTTAAGTAATATTAAAGAAAAGTAAACCTTCAAATAACGAAAAAGCGAAATAATAATTTTATTCATATATGAAATCAAAAAATGTATTTGTTTACAGTTTACATACTTCATTGTTAGAATCAAATTTAATCATCTGTAAAAGTCGAATGCAAAAATAAACAATTATATCTTAATGTGTATTTTGATTAGTTTAATAATAAATTTAAAGCAATTATTATTATAAATACATTTTTTGTGCACTTCGGATTTATACTATTCTTTTTTTATAAACTTAATGAAGTAAAATCTCATTGTTAAAAAATATTAAAGTTACTAAAATAATAATATAAAGTATTGTTTTCATGAAAATAATTGTGGTAACTCTAAAAAATTAAGTGGTAACTCATAGATTGCATTATTCACTTCGTCTTCAGACATAGTAAGAGAAAGTTAGTGTTGCCATCTATTATCAGCAAAAGAAACTCATTTTCTCTCTTATTGGAAAAAGAACTATCTCGTTTTAAATAATATAGACGTCATTTTATTGCTTACATAAAGATAACTATCTCAAAACACAGTGTAATCAAACGTCTTTAAGTAATTTTGTCATGGGTGGTCTTTTCCCAAAATGTGAAATTTATTTCTTTGTTGTTTTTTATCCCAAAATATGCTATGCAGTCATTAAAGTGCAACTGTTTTAGATTCTAAAAGTATTTAAGAGTTAAGCTTGTTTTATGTGTATCATAACCTAAACTTCACTTTGTTCAGATCCCTTACATTAATTAGGGCAACTACAGTTGATTTAATTANCTACGTTTTATTTTCATGAAAATAATTGTAGTAACTCTAAAAAATCGAGTGGTAACTCATAGATTGCGTTATTCACTTCATCTTCAGACATTGTAAGGGAAAGTTAGTGTTGCCATCTATTATCAGCAAAGGAAACTCATATTCTCTCTTACTGGAAAAAGAACTATCTCGTTTCAAATAATACAGACGTCATTTTATTGCTTACATAAAGATAACTATCTCAAAACACAGTGTAATCAAATGTCTTTAAGTGATTGTTATGAAATGGTATGGTCTTTTCCCCAAATTTGAAATTTATTTCTTTGTTGTTTTTTATCCCAAAATATGCTATGCAGTCATTAAAGTGCAGCTGTTTTAGATTCTAAAAGTAGTAAAAGTTAAGCTTGTTTTATATGTATCATAAGCTAAACTTCACTTTGTTTTAATCCCTTACATTAATTAGGGCTACTACAGTTGATTTAATTAGGTCTGCTAAATTAATTGAAATTATCAATAAAATAAACGCGTTTTAGAGTTGTCATGCTTTTCCACTAAGCTGTAGTTCTGCAGCATTTTGCAGTTTATTTTAACAACGGCGTTGAACTGCCGATCCATACCGAATTTGCACTAATATCGATGATCAACTCCATAGCCTTGTTATTTTCAAACCAATTTAGAAGACAAAAAAAACTCCTAAATCATGCATTTTGACAAACTCTGCTTTGAAGAAAATTTTTTGAGGGAATTCTTGCATTTGCGATACAATAAGAAGAAAACCACGAAAACATTTCAAGTTCAGCCTGACGACAAAGGTATTCAGGTATTCATCAATTGATAAACGAAAACGAAATGAAAGGTATTCATCAATTAGAATAAATAAACGTAAAGCTAAGAAAATTGGGGGGAAATGTGATACCAAAAATAATGAACTCCAATCTAGTTGCTGTGAAAGCAAATGATAATTGTTTTTTCTTCAGAGATTCTTTGAAAAAAATGGCCAACTTGATTTAACTTTTAAATAATTTAATAATAATAATGTAATATTTCTTCTACAGAACCAGGGAGTGCTCCCCGAAATGTTCAGGCGACTCCTCTTAGTTCAAGTACAGTCGTCATTCAATGGGATCCGCCAAAAGAACCAAATGGTCAAGTGACCGTAAGTCAACACAATTTTTTTATCCAATAAAGGCAAACTATATGTTGTTTTTAAAAATTCTAATCAATAAATAATTTAAATTGACATAGCGAACGCACAATATTAATTTAATGTTCAATAATGAATATAGTATTTCAACATTTTTCACTACCGGCAAGGATTCCATTAATTGGTAAATTGCAATGTCTCATAATTTCGGCAAGAATTATAGATTAAGTTTTTTGATATTTCACTACTTGTACCAGAATGGGATACCTGCAAGTGACGTAGTATGGATATATCGATTCTGATTGGTTGTTAAAACATGGCATTTGTTTACGATAGTAACATTTCTCTTCATTCTATTTCGAGTTAGCCAAGCCCGTCAAGTATCAATTATCTTAAGTGACACATTCTAAATTCTTTCACAAAGATTTCAATTCTTTCACAATATATTTCTTACTTCTCACGAAGACAGACACGAAGTATTGTATAACATAAACTAAGTATGCTTCGAAGTTTCCCGGTACACAAAGCAAAAATATATCACGATTACAGTAAAATACGTAAACAAATAATAAACCTAAGTTAAGTAAAAGACTTAGACGAGGGAAAATTACATTTTGACGAATTCGATGTGCGATACGGTGCTGTATTTTATTAACTTAACGTTAATTAGCACTCTAACTAATGTGAAGAAACTTAGATCAACATTAACACGCCATTTTGCTTATAAACGATCAGCTGGAGCTGACGTCATTGATCGCATGTGTGGGTATCCGTGATCTTCTTGAAATGCAAGTACCTAATTATCAACAAAAAAATATTTTATCTATTTTAAAATGGTGTATCTTGCTTTTATAATTTGAAACAAGTTTATTAAATGCTTAGGGTCAAAAATATGTTCTGCTTATTTATTTTATTGTTAGCTTGTAATAAATCTTAAATATTTTTTTCTACAAAAATATTTAAATGAGTTCTTCTAAGACTAAAACCAATTAAACTGGGTTTTTTCAATTTCAGGGTTATAAAGTTTACTATACCACCAACCCCCATGTTCCAGTTCAGGCATGGCAAAGTCAAATTGTAGATAACAACCAATTAACGACTATAAGCGATTTAATGACTGACGCAATCTATTCTATCCGAGTCCAGGCCTTCACCAGCAGAGGTCCCGGACCACTATCGAATACGATACAAATGAAGACTCAGTTGGGTGGTAAGTAAAGTCTACAGCCTATGTGAAACTATTTTATACATCATAAAAATAGTGAACTCAAAAGCTCAAATTTACACAGAAAAATTACAGCTTTTCAAGCTTCAGGCAAATTTCTATATACTGAAAAACTTCGTTAAATATCAAGATCATACCTATTCATGAAATTTTATACACACTGTGTTAAAGTAACAATATCTTACCTCTTGGCAAAGTTCCATATACAGTTAATTAAAGAACCAAAATCTTGGTTAAATTCTAAATACAGTCAATAAAATACCACGATCTTACCTATTGGTGAACATCTTTAAACAGTTCATTAAAATATATAAAGCTAGCTTTTTAATAAAATTTTATACACAGTGCGTTAAAGTATAACAAAATCTAACGTCGTGGTAGAGTACTATATGCATTTTGTTAAAGTACCAAGATCTAGTTAAAGTTTCATATATAGTTCAATAAAATACCAAGATCTTACCTCTTGGTAAAGGCCTACAAACAGTTCATTAAAGTAACAAAAACTTACTTTTTGATAAACTTTAACACATAGTGCCTTAAAACAACAAGTTCTTACGTCTTGGTAAAGTTCTATATACATTTTGTCAAAGTACCAAGATCTTGGTAAAGTTCCATATACTTTTGATCAAATTTTATACAGAATGCGTTAAAATAGCAAGATCTTACATCTTTGTAAAGTTCTATATACATTTTGAAGTACCAAAATCTTGGTAAAGTTCCATATAAAGTTCAATAAATTACCAAGATCTTGGTAAAAGCCTACGTACAGTTCATTAAAGTATCAAAATCTTACCTTTTGATAACAATCTATTCACATTCCCTCCAAATTCCGAGAACTTACCTGACAAAGTTCTAATCTATCGACTTGGCTCTGATACAGTTTGTTAGGATATCAAGGTCTTACTTTTCTAATAGAGCTCTTAATACACTAAGTATTAAAATCTTCACATTAGATTTATTCTATGAACAAGTTCGTAAAATCATGTGTTAACATTCGAAAAAGAAAAAAATAATTACAAGTCATGGGATTGTGTGCCCTCTATTCAAAAGTGAATGATATATAAAATAATTTATAATATCTAGCCTATAAACTATACCGCTAATAAAGACTGTACAAAACGCTTGTGATTCTCATTTCTATTCTTTTCTTTTATTACTGAAAATTCAAAACTGATGGGCAAAGCAAGAGTAAATGCTAGCAATGGCAAATTTATGGATAAATTTAGTGAAAACTGCCTCAGTTTATGTTCTACTTCAGTTAAGGAAAAATTTTTGACCTATTGATACACTTTTTACCTAATTGATACGTTAAATATGTCTTAATTTTTATAAATAATTTAACATGAAATTGTTTAAGCGCAGTTTTTAAAAAAAAAATTTGCATGAATTAATACGGGTGTAAGGTATACAATTTCTTACATCATTTTAAAGTTTGAAATTTTTCCTGTTATGCAAAATTTGAGCGAAATCGGTTGTATAGTTCCTGAGAAATTTAAATATAAGACTTTTCTAAAATCACATATATCAGCGCCATAATAAAACCGATGTTTTTCTTTTGCAGTACCTAGCCAACCAACCAATTTACGAGCTGTTCCAACATCAGCTACAACAGTACAGCTATCGTGGACAAGACCAACTCATACAGGCGAAAATATAATCGGGTATGAACTGTATTGGAACGATACTTTTAGCCAACATGAGTATCACAGGGAGATCGAATCAGAATCTTATACACTGGGAGAACTGTATCCTGATACTGAGTACTTCATATGGGTAGCGGCAAAATCAAAAAGAGGCGAAGGTGCGGCTACTCCACCTGTTAAAGTGCGTACAGAGCAGTATGGTACGTATGAATAATCTAAAATGTTACTTTAAACTAAAATATTGGTTATCAACTGGCGGTCCTTTGTGGCATAGCTAGCGGGAGCGCAAAAGGGAACATCTGCCCTCGAGCCTTATTGCAAAGAATATACATAGGGGAAGAAGGCTAGCATCCATAACCCTAATGTAAACCGGTCCACCAATGCTAGGTGCGGTGACTGTGTAGGGGTACAGTAGCAGAAGTTTTGAAAACGGATTTTCACCCTCCTCTCTTCACAACCTCTACTCTAAGGAGCAGATACTCCCGTATCTACTCCCTAGAGTACTCCCTAATTCAAGGAGTACTCTCCTCTACTAGTAAGGGTGAAAAATTTCTCTTTTTATTTATTGTTGGTTTGTTCTGTATTTTTACACTCTATATAAACAATACCGTTCTATTAATATATTTGATAATATATCCATGTTGCAACATACGCAACCATACGTGTAGAGTTATCCAACAACCGTTTTACAGGTGAGGTACCTCTTGACTGTCACTTTGCATGCTATGCGCATGCGCTGGATCTTAATACATATGATGCTCTGCTAAATCTGAGTATTTTACTCTTCCTGTACAGTTGTTTTTCTGGTACAGCATACCGAACAAAGCAGTTTCCTGCATTAGTTACGTATTCGAACAGCTGGATTTCTTTTCCTTTCTATGTTCTTTGCTTTGAGGGGTGCCAAATTCATGAAAAAATAATTATAAATGAGTTTAAATTTTAGAATGAAATTTTTTTCTGTTTTAAATATCCTCAGTTTTCATTTTCTAATTGCGGGTCTCCTAATTTTTTAATTAATTTAAATCGGCGCATTTTTTTTTTTTTTTTTTTTTTTTTTTTTTTTTTTTTTTTTTTTTNTTGTTCATTTGCCGATCTGCGAGTGGTTATTTTCAGATCAACTAAAAGTAAAATGTCCGGATAATGAAATAGTTGGAAACAATTCATCAGTATCTGGTACTCTTTTGTCCTCATTGGAGTTTAAAAAAAGGAATCATAATTGGAATATTAAATAATTTTTCCCAATTAACGTTTAAAAATCATACCATAGAACCTTTATTGTTGTCTTTTTCTCTAATTAGATAAAATCATTTGTGTCACGTGGGATTTACTATCCTATTTTTAGAGATCTGAGCCCAAACTCTGTACCGAATTCATGTATGTACACTAAATTAATAATCAATGAATCATAAATACAATTTACAATATATCAACTGAAAATCTTTTATTAGCTATACTTAGCTCAGTTATAGCCATACTAATTGCATGAAGAAAACCATCCAATATAATAATTGTAAATATTCTCAATTAATAATTCAATATTACAATGTTTTAAGATTGCGATGTTTTAATATTATTATACAGTTTGTTTTAAATAACATTTTGTTTGATGATATTAAAACAATACATTCTTTAAATATCATTTTACAAAATGTTTTAATTATAATCTTACAATGAAGTATATTTTAGAGAATTTAGTTTATAATCGTAATATGATTATAAATTATGTCTTTTAAATTACTTTTTGTTTAATGATGTCAAAACAACGTAATGTTATAATATCATTATGCAAAATGTATAATGATATTACAAGCTTTAATATAATTATGCATATTTTCAACTAAATGTAATCATTGACTTTCTAATTACTTTTATCAACGTTTCAAAGTAATCAAATTAAATTAATACAACTCTAATTTTAACCTTTTTTTAACTTAGATATTCTAAAAAAATAATAGCGCGTTTATTAATGTTAATTAAATGTATATTTGAGAACAAATAAATGAAACCTGAAACTACAAAGAATTTATTTGTTTCAAATCATACATTTATTTATTAAATTTGTCGATAAAGCAAATCTTATTTGCATTAATAATGTCATCATGTTTTTATAAATCTTTTTAATGCCACTTTTAAAAGTAGAAGTTGGGAAAAAAATTACCTTTTTTTCGGTTTCTTTGCACTTGAAATATCAAAAGTAAAAAAATAGCCTTTGTAGAATCAATTTTCTTAATTGCTTCAATTATTTCAAATTAATTCGAATTAAGAAAGAGAAGCGGTATCTTTTTATCTTGAACCAGCTTATTAGTTTCAAAAATAAAATCTTATTTACTCCTGTACTTATTTATAATTTATGCTTTTTATGTTAGAAAGCTTATTTTTCTTAGAATTATTATTTATTAAGTTTTTTTTTTTGGGCACATTTTTATTGAGCTTTTAGTTTATACCATTTTATTTATTTGCTTTTTACTGTTATAATTTTATTAGTTTTATGGAACTATTGATTCATGAATCGAGTAAAAAAATTAACATTTTAAGTGTTCACTTTTTATTATAAAATTTTAGAAGGAGGTAAGATAAAAAAAAAATTTTATGTGATAACAAAGCTTTATTTCCTAACAACCAAATGGTTGAAGAAACATTCAATGATCTGTACTTTGTGCTCAAAATTGAAAGTATTGTTTGATTAAATTTATTACATCCAAAGATCCAAAAGTCGGATGGACATGACGCCTAAAATCTGTCAATCTGAAACGAATAAAATAAACTACCTAAGCCAATTTATATTACGGAAATCGAAAAATAAAGATTATAAGAACGTACATTTCGTAATACGTTCGAAAATTAGTTTAGTAGACAACAATGTAACTTATACAGTTTTTTTCTCTTTTTCCGAGCAATTTCTGAATCGAAACCTTGTTCCTTTTCCAACAATGAATCAATAGTTCCATTAGGTGATTACTCCTATTAAATTTTTAGTTTATGATTTGCCTGTTTTTGTTATGTTTATTCCTCTTACCTCTTAGCACCCACTGCCCCACCCCAAGAAGTGACCGGTGTCACGCTTAACTCACGCTCTCTGCGTATCTCTTGGGAACCCCCACCCGAAAGCCAACAAAATGGTCATTTGGCTTTCTATAAAGTCCTATACTTGGAGTCGAATAAGCCTCCGGATCCGGCCACTGCCGCTATCCGGCAAGTGGACGCCAAACAGACTTTTGTAGTTCTTGATAACCTGACAACGTGGACGGAATACAGAGTTTGGGTATTGGCGGCAACTGCAGCTGGTGAAGGACCTCTTTCTGAAGCCATTGTTTTAAAAACCGATGAAGCAGGTAAGTTATCTCTGAAGGGTTGGAAGAAAGTTAAATATAAATTTATTATAGTAAAACATATTATTTTGATTTATATGGAAAATAATAGAATTGATTGATTTATGGATCTAAAACTGAATTGTACAAAAAGCGTCAAATGACAATTACAAAAGTTTGTTTATATATAAAAAAATAGGTATATGATTTCACAATGGTATAGTTGTCACTACGCACAGTTAAAGTTCAAGTCCGCAAAGGTTCTTTACATTACATATAAATATATATACATATATATAATGTCGTTGTTGAGTGGAAGGATTAAAACAGGTCTTAGGCAGGGAAGGAGGGTACAAAGTTTATTTATTAATTATTAGACAGAGAACGCATATAAAAGTGGTCATGAAAAAGTTTTGCTCCTCGATATAAGTTAGGGAAAATCTTGCAAAGAAAATTCGTAAAATGTTTCATTTTAGGGAATAAGAGAAATCTTAGTAATTGTGTTTGGTTTATTAAATAGGTCGCGCGATTCCCACAAAGAGCAAAGGGAAAAAATGTCTTACTTTTAATCAATGCATACTTGAGCCAAAAATAGATTAAGGGACAGGATGGGAATTTAAAAGTGTGAGAAAGTGTTTCGATTAGAATAATAAATTTAGAAAAGGATTTACGGAAAAGGAATAGCATAAAAAGATCATTTGAAGCTTTTTATGTTACATACATATATATATAATTAAANATATATATAACCACTTTTTACTAGGTAAGAATGAGTACGTTATTTTTATATACTAGTGGGCTGCGCCCCCTGATCGCTAACGCTCGTCAACCCCAATAATTTTGTGAGAATTTTTTTGATAATTCGGTGAGAATCCACCCGATTAGACATATGATGCTCACAACGTGCTCTTGCACGCCGAAGCCTATCAATTAAAACGTATTAGCGTTTTATATAATATAGATTAGCCATATGATGCTCACTACGTGCTCTTGCGCGCCGAAGACTATCAATTAAAAATGAAAACCGTTGCCAACGCGAGAAAAGAAATATCATCGGTTTTATTGATACATACGTATTAGCGTTTTATATAATAAGATGATTATTTACGTCAACAAACAAGATGTACTTAAGTTGAAGTGTCAAATTTAAGAAAAATGTGGTTATCCGGAAGAAAAATTGCGTAAATAAATTCAAACTGAAATTTATCGAAATTTAAATGATAAATTTGCTTTATTAATAATACGTAAAATACACAGAATAATTTTTACTAAATCTTAATAGTAAATAATCTTTCTTCAATCTTTCGTAAAATATGCGTAAGCATTCTTACCGAAGAATATTTGGTAAAAACCATTCCGTTAATATTACGTAAAATGTAAAGCTTTTTTTACCACATATCTCTATGGTTATGTCATTCCGACAATATTTAGTAAAATTTACGTATAAAGCGTATTGACTTTACAAATTTCCCAAAATTTTACGTTTAATTTACTTATTATGCTACATTGGATATATGTATATATATATATATATATATAATCTAGTTTTGGTGATGTTGAGGTAAAAAATATGTAGGGACAAGAAAGAAATCTCCCTTATACTTAATACAAAACGAGTTCTTTTTACCATTGGAAAAATAGACGCTGCAGAAAAAGCAACTGCAAAAGGTAGAAGAAATATTTTTAGAGGGCTTGAGAGGAAAGAAAAGTGTGGAGAATATCGGACAAGTTTACCTAATGATTTTCGCAAGTTGTATCCTTTTACCATATTTTTCCATTTTGCGTTAAATACCAGACATTTCCAATTTTCATTAATTTTGTGTTGACTTAAATGTCATTGATCAAAATATCATTAAATTATAGTCAAATTTCCCAAGAATGAAGGCATGCATAAGACTACCATATTCTTCTGAACCAAGTCGTCATCTTTTGAAATTAGTTCTTGGACGTGGTGACCAACTTTCTTCACCACCTTCAAATTGGCCTCTTACCAATACCTATTAGCTTTTACAAATTAATATTCTCTGGCCAGTTTGACCACTTTTCTACAAGCTTTTAATTCCCCATAAAAAAAATCTGAATTTGTAATCAGATTGCACGAAAGATAACAGGGTGGTTATAAACACGACCTGCTCTTTGATCTAAATGGTGAAAAGTGCGCGCATTGAAATGAGTTCTTGGACGTGATGGTCAACTTTCCTTTCCATCTTCAAACTTTGTTCTTACCAATTATTAATTCTTTCAAATTAATATTCGCTGGTCAGTTTCACTGCTTTTCTACAAGCTTTCAATTCCCCGTGATAAAATTTGAATGTCTTATCAGATTGCACGAGGGATAACAGGGTGGTTATAAACACGATCTGCTCTTTGATCTAAATGGTGAAAAGTGTCTTCAGATCATCACTACCATTGAATCCCAGACTGTCATCGATAGCTTACGAGTTAAACTCTAGCAATATTCTCAACAAAATTAAGCCAAAGTTCTCAGCAGAAAAATTGAAATAGAGTGAAGAAAAACATTTGGTGCATGTTTTTTTAGAATACAAAATATATTATTACAATTGTCTTCCTTTATTATTTCAGTGCCGGGCATGCCGAGAGATGTTAAAGTTCGTGCCCTTAACAGTACAACAGTAGAGGTAAAATGGGAACCGCCTGCAAACAGAGACCGAAACGGACTTATCCGCGGCTATCAGATTCATGTTCAAGAAATGAATCGAGAGGGAGATCTTGTCAATGAACCCATGAGATTCGACGTTGCCGAAGAGGAGGCAGAAGGTTACAACATCACTGGTCTGCAACCAGCTACCAATTATTCCATTCAAGTAGCCGCTGTGACAAGAAAGGGAGACGGTACCAGAAGTAGAGCTACAACAGTTCAAACACAAGGTGGAGGTAAGTCTTTCTCTTACTAAAAGTAGCGCAGCTCGGTCCTTGTTTTCTCAGACATCCCGGACATTTTCAGAATTGGGTTTCCGCTTTATCAATTTACGCTATCCCACTGTCCCTCTCACTCACCACTAGTATCAGAGTAATCACCCTGGTGGTTCCCTGCCCCTCCAGTGCACAGGGTGCGTAGCGTTTTTTAAAAGTCCATAAAGGTGCTTTTTTTCAGTGGGTGTGTTTAAAAAGTGTTTAATTTTCCCTTTTCTAAAGTAAGATTTTTCCTTTACCATGTTGATTTTCGCTACGAATTGTGCAGGAAGACACTTTTCACATTGTTCAATTCAACGTTTTCACAATTAATTCAACCCCAATCTATTTTGGCACATCGTCAGTCCGTAGCGTATGAAAACGCCATTCGATTTACATGATTCAAAAATTTTCACAATTGTCAAAAACAATGACAAAAGTTTTTTTTTTTTTACATGACGATTAAAACCAGATAAAACCGTCAATTGCCAAAAACTTTCCAACCCTACCTAATCAGGATATTTTTTAAAGCGCTTAAAAATATTATTTGAATGCTTGAAAAGTGCTTAAAAGGTGCTTATTTTTTGTTGAATAATTTGGCTACGCACCCTGAGTGCAGCAGACTATCATTTCTCGCTTTCGTAATGGTTATCTATGACATACAAAATGGTCAAATCTATGACATACAAAAACAAAGTAAAGGTTTTCCCTACATGTTCTAAGTGTACTGCCTGTCAAGCTACACCCTGCCGTATCGAAATAGATGTAGAAAATGTACCTCCCATGTCCAAATAGCTCTTAGATAGCAAATATTACGAGTGAGCATAAGTCATGTCAAAAATAGTATTTTATGCATTGAAACGCTGCAAATTTTGAACTACTCGATCTGTTGACTCGTATATAATTTAATTCAATTCAGTGTAACAATATATAGAAATCGATTTCTCACTTGTTTAGATCGATATATCAGATGATTAAATGTGTACAAATTTGTGCATAAAAACCTTATAGTTTCTAAACTTTTCGCCAAATCATCTCGTGATTGATTTTATTAGATTTAAAACAAAAAAAAAACACCCAGAAACAATGCTTCACTTGGATGTTTTGAAGAAATTTTATATTCTCTCTCAAATCATCTCTGTTTCCCTCAACAACAAAAACGAGGGGAAGCTTACAGATGAGAGGAGTTTTCATGTTTCATTTATAAGGACACAACAAAGCTTCCTGTAAAAAACATTGTGTGTGTTAATTTCTTCGAAGAAAAAGTCTTAATTTTACTGGACTAAAAATACTTTAAACAGTAAGAATTTGTTAGAAATTTTTTTTATGTTTGTGATGAAGTTGTAAGTTTAAGCAAACACTCTTCAGTCCTGAAGACTGAAATCAGTCTTGAGCAAAATTCAATGGACTGATTTTCCAGCCTCTAATAAATATTTATTTTCGACTTTTTTCCCGCATTAAATTATCATTTACATATTAACTTTTCCTTTAAAAACATAAAAAGATTATTTTATGTTAAAATAAATATTAATCTTCATGAAAACATAATTGTCTTTCATAATTATCGCAAAATGATTTTGTAATGGTGTCACATCACTAAAAAATAATAGGATTGACTGAATTTCAACATCTGCTTGAGTTTGTGTTTTTTCTGAAACGTTTTTAGATTGTGAACAAGGTTAAATTAAGATTATTTTTTAAAATATTAAATCGGTAGATTTTGGACAAAGTATTAATAATGAAGTGTAAAGTAAGTAGAAAAAAGAACTCCAAGAGAAAGTTTGTGGTGTAATTCAGCAAGTGGTGCAAAAAATTATACAAGGTTAGCTTTTTTTTTGTAAAAAATAAAGGCAAATTTATTTTTAGAAAAAATAATCAATCATAGGCATAATATGTGGACCATTCTCATAGAAAGTTAACAATAATTTGCAGAAATTTTTTTAAAAGTAGCGCTAGACTCTGTAAAATGGTCAAAAAATAAGTTCAGTCTTAGCATTTTTCTTGAGTGGCACCCATGGTTATAAAGCATAAAAATGCAAAAATAATTTTATGTAAAAAACTAACTGGTATTAAAGCTCACTTTTCGAAAGTAAACTTTAATAATATATAGAATAATATATAGAATGTGAATAAAACAACATAATTCTAAAAATGCACATTATTAAATTTAGTTTATTCACGTGTCTTATGTATTGTGATTGCATTACAGAACATTTTAAACTTCTCTTATTAAAAATGAGCCTGATCATATGTTAAATCCTTTTAAAGCCTTATTTTTAATTTTAAGCTACTGGATGATATTACCAGTTTTTGTGGAGTTTTAAACTTATCGAAATTTGAGCAAACATACAAGAAAACTAAAGTACTTTAAAATTACCCTGGTCATTTTAAATAAGTAATACAAAGCAACAATAAGTTATCCAAAGCGCTAAAATGCAAAGCAATAATTTAAATAAAAAGGTTTTAATAATGTTTTTTAAAGTTGCCTTTTTACAAGCATAAAAATTAAGTCATCATTTTTCCCATAAAACCTTCTTTTTTTTATTTTAGTTGTACAAAATAAAGTAATAAGTATAATAAAAGTAATAGTATGAGTTTTTCTAGTACAAAATGAAATTAAAATCGTTTTGCTTCTTTTTTTAAGAAAGAGTTAACTGTTCTTTTTCAGTTCCAACAAAACCAGAGTTGACATTACAACTAATGAAAGAGGATCCTCAGCCTGTAGTCCAAGTACAATGGTCACGTCCAGCTCACACCTACGGTCAACTTTTGGGCTACAAATTGAAATACGGACGTACAGACGGAAAACATTATGAAGAAATGGATATTAACCCTTTGGAAGACCATACATCTGTTAGCAATTTAGGTATGATTTTGAGTCATTTAGTATAAATCAGGTGTATTGATCATGAAATCGGACTTTGCCGGGATTTTTTTCTAAATGCATTCGACGCTGACAAGCTTATGAACCAAACAGTTGAGGAGGTTTATGACTTTGGTAAAATTAACAATAAAAAATAATTTTATAATGTGTGATTATATTTGGTAATTTTATAATATGTGATAAAATAACATAATGTGTATAATATCACCTATAATAGAAATAGTTTTATAATATGTTATAAGATAAATTTATAATTCTAAAGATAAATTTATTAAGATAAATTTATAATTCTAATAATTCTAAATGCATTCGACGCTGACAAGCTTATGAACCAAACAGTTGAGGAGGTTTATGACTTTGGTAAAATTAACAATAAAAAATAATTTTATAATGTGTGATTATATTTGGTAATTTTATAATATGTGATAAAATAACATAATAACGATCATAACGATGTAATTGATTGCATAATAATAATAATTAATTTTAGATAAAAAGTTCATGCTTTTCAATTTGTTAAGTAGTGTTAAGAACGATTTTGAATGAATAAAGAAAAGGGGATAGATTGTCAATTTATGACTATTATAGGAAAAAAAGCCTATGACTGATGATTTATCAGATGTCTGTTACGTCGTCATTAGAATCATCTTTAAAAAAAATATCTAAACTCGATTTTTGATGACGTTTGCAATTTTTACTCTTTTTTTTTAAAGCATTTTTGGAGATTTTAAGGACATTTTCAGAGATTTTCGGTTATGTTTCTTTTAGGGCATTTATTTTGCATTTTGTGGCAGTATTTATTTTATAGAGTATCCTTTTTTTAATTTTAGGATTTTTAATACTATTGGGTCATTTTTTATATGAAACTTTTTCTAACATTTTTTACTTTTACAATGTAACTCTCTATATCTGTTACTTCTTAGTCTTTATTTAACTTATAAATTAAACTTTAGGGGAAATTACAACTCTATTTCCCTTATATACTGTATATTTTATACTATACTCTTTGTAAATATTATTGTCGTCTCGGGATCGCATTTTCCACCTTCGTCGCCTTGGCAACGATGTGATAGACAGCATCATTGTAATTCCTTTGATCATTATAGTTTGTTCTCTTTCTTTCGTCTGTTCTACGCTATTTTGATCTGGGTTATAAGCTAATTCATTTTCACAAAATTTTACTAAATGGTTTGTACTTTAAGCTCTGCTACCATGAGTAACTCTGCTGTCAGGAGACAATAAAATATTGATTATCTACATTGTCTACAGCTACTTAAAAGAGTTGGTGCTAACTCAAACCGATCATTATTTTAAATGAACTGTTTTTAACTTCAAGCTTTTATGTTAAGATATTTAAAAGCTTTTATCATTAAATATCATCATGTCGTTTGTATATTTCTGTAACATAAGAGTATAAGCTTTTAAGCAGTAGTGTAGCCAAGTATCAACTTCTTGTTTCTTTTTCCAACTTCTTGCTTAAACGTAATGGCGTGGAAAAAAGCGAGCGTTACGGATAACTTGAAAGATTAGGAAATTTACATAACCTTGAAATATTGTATCACAAAGACTTATCCACTGATATGTAAATTTAGGAAAGTATTTTTTTCGAAAATAAACATCTCGATTTAATTAAAGAATTGATTCTAACTAGAAGGCATTTTTTATGTTTTGAATATTAAATTTTTTCTCTTAGTTATGGCACATTTCTTAATAAATTGCATATTATCATCGTATAATAACTTTAGATTAAAATAATTCATGATACACTGCTAATTTTAAATTAAAAAATACGATTAAATGCTATAGCTTTATGTTAAAATATTTAATGCTCTCTCCTGTTCAATGATAGCTATATTTATGCATGGAGAAAAAAAAATTTGTAAAATTACCGTTCTGCATTACCGTAACAACATTTCTGGTTTTAAGAAAACCCATAATTCTGGTTAATAAAACCAAAATAAACAGTATTTAAACCATTTGTTTTTGTAATTTTTCGGTTCATATGTAGTAGCGGTTTACTCGAAGTTTCAGTTCTTATTGTCACACATTTAAGTAAAAACTGAAAAGTAAATTTGACCAAATAACTGATTTTAGGCCATGATCTAAGGAACTAATGATAAAATGATCAAGTTTACTGCATTTACGAAATTTTTTCACATAATATAAAGCCATATTTATAGTTAATTTTGCTAAAATTATTACAAGGCGAGCTTTTTGCTGACGAAGTCAGATAAAACTCTTATTTTGAAGGAAAAAAAATTCAATCAATTTAATTACAAAAAAGGAACCGTGAAATTAGTATTACTAAAAAAAACTACAATTCACCTATTTTTGCTGAGTTTTTCATACTTTTTCCCCTGAACAATGTTTAATGTCGCTAAATTTGTTTCATTGCAAAAAATAATAATTTGTAAATTCTAAAAATGTTTAAACTTCATTAAAAAATAAATTTTGTTAACAAAATGTTACGTAAGCATAGTAAACTGGTTGTAATATACTTATTTATGCTGACATCTAAAATTACCAAAAATATGCTTACTTATTATTTGATTTTACTTAAACCTCATCTTGTGCCTAGTGTTCACTTGTGTTCTTTATGTGTGCCTAGTATTCTTTTAAAAGAAAATATTGGAAAGAAATTCTTTATACTTTTCGGAGCTGAAGATTTTATACTTGGTTTCAATGTTCGTAGACTACCATATTTTTCATAATGTCACTTTTCAAATCATTGCAAAATGTATGGTCCCACATTAGTCTATTAAGTTAAATTTTATTAGAGAAACATATTGCAGTTATATTCCTTTTAAACTTTTGTTATCCATAGAATTAAAGTAGGTATATTTAAAATTATTTTCTACTATCTTAAAGTACAGAAGTACTTAAGATCAATAACTACTTTAATTCCGTTTTAAAATCAATTTCAAATAACTATTTGTTAAAATATGAAACAATTGATAAAAAAAACATTAAAAAAAACTATATTTTAATGTTTCGAAGAAACAAATTACCAGAATAATTTCAACAAAATCCACTGAAAATATTTCGGGAAAACTCTGAATTTCATTCGCTAAAAAAGGAAATTGAATAAATTAAGAAATCTGCAAAATATCAACAAAAAAAAAACAATATTTTCTCTGAATTCAGTTTTTTTTTCTTAAAATATTTATTGTTTAAAGCATCATCTGCAAATGACTATAATTTTTAAGCTTTCAAAAAAACCTCCCGGTGTCTTATTGTTCAAATATGATTTGCATTTTTATTATTCGTTGTTTAATCCCTTGAAAAGCTTGTGATGATATTGTTCCGAGAATCTTTTGTTATGCTAATAAGATTATAAATCTCATCTTAATATAAAAAAAATCATTATTAGCATAATTAAATTTTTTTTCTAGATAACTAAATAAAGCTGTGATGAATGAGTAAGAAGTTAATGGGTCTCACAAGTTCTTCTGTTTTATAATTAAATATTTTGTTTATACCTTCCATTTTCTTATTGTGATCGTCTATAGTCTAAACATTTTGAGGTTTATAGAGAAAAAATTAGCAAATGTTGCTAATTTATAAAACTTTAATTACAGCGCAAATTTGTAAAGAATTTTGCTATAAAAAACTTTTTGTATATAAACTTCTATTTTATTGCCGCAAAAAACGAGCGAAAACAACTGTGCAACGGAGTAGAAAGTTTATTCCTTTCTTAATTGTTAAAAATTATATCTAATCATATTCTTTCTAATCAGAAGAATAGCTTTTATTACAGAGCAATTCTGTAAAAGTTGCAATAAATATAATTTTTTTTATTAACTACTATTTTACTGCCGCGAAAAGCGTTTCTTTTGAAAACAAAAAATGAACGAAAACGACTGTGCAACAGAATAGAGAGCTTATTCCTTTCTTAATCATATTCTTCCTAATCGGATGAATAGCTTTTATTACAGCGCAATTCTGTAAAAATGTTGCATTAAATATAATTTTTTTTATAAACTTCTATTTTACTGCCGCTAAAAACGTTTCTTTTGAAAACGAAAAATGAACGAAAACGACTGTGCAACGGAATAGAGAGCTTATTCCTTTCTTAATCAATATCTAATCATATTCTTTCGAATCGGATGAATAGCTTTTATTATAGCGCAATTCTGTAAAAATGTTGCTATAACTTTTTTTTATGAACTTCTATTTTATTGCCTCGAAAAGCATTTTATTTGAAAACAAAAAACGAACAAAAACGACTGTGCAACGAAAAAGAGAGCTTATTCCTTTCTTAATCAATGTCTAATCATATTCTTTCTAATCGAATGAATAGCTTTTATTATAGCGTAATTCTGTAAAAATGTTGCAATAACTTTTATTTTATAAACTTCTATTTTATTGCATCGAAAAGCGTTTTATTTGAAAGCAAAAAACTAGCAAAAACGACTGTGCAACGAAATAGAGAGCTTATTCCTTTCTTAATCAATATCTAATCATATTCTTTCTAATCGAATGAATAGCTTTTATTATAGCGTAATTCTGTAAAAATGTTGCAATAAATATAATTATTTAATAAACTTCTATTTTATTGCTTCGAAAAGCGTTTTATTTGAAAACAAAAAACGAACAAAAGCGACTGTGCAACGGAATAGAGAGCTTATTCCTTTCTTAATCAATATCTAATCATATTCTTTCGAATCGGGTGAATAGCTTTCATTATAGCGCAATTCTGTACAAATGTTGCAATAACTTTTTTTTTATATAAACTTCTATTTTATTGCCTCGAAAAACGTTTTATTTTAAAACAAAAAACGACTGTGCAACGGAATAGAGAGTTTATTCCTTTCTTAATCAATATCTAATCATATTCTTTCTAATCGAAAGAATAGCTTTTATTATAGCGTAATTCTGTAAAAATGTTGCAATAAATATAATTATTTTATAAACTTCTATTTTATTGCCGCGAAAAACGTTTCTTTTGAAAACGAAAAATGAACGAAAACGACTGTGCAACGGAATAGAGAGTTTATTCCTTTCTTAATCAATATCTAATCATATTTTTTCTAATCAGAAGAATATCTTTTATTATAGCGCAATTCTGTAAAAATGTTGCAATAAATATAATTATTTTATAAACTTCTATTTTATTGCCGCGAAAAACATTTCTTTTGAAAACGAAAGAAAACGACCGGAATAACGAGCTTATTCCTTTCTTAATAAATATCTAATCAAATTCTTTCTAAACGGAAGAATAGTTTTTATTGTAGCGCGATTCTGTAAAAAGGTTGCAGTAAATATAATTTTTTTAAAAAACTTTTATTTTATTGCCGCTAAAAACGTTTCTTTTGAAAACGAAAACTTAAAAAAAAATTAGGATTAGAAATATGGCTTCGGTATTCTTTCATTAGAAAACATGACTTAAGAATTCTTTCAGATAGAAAATATGACTTGTTCTTTCAAATCTAGTCGCTTTCTTTCAGATAGGAAATATGACTGATGAATTTATTCTTTCAGATAAGAAATATATCTTAAGTATATTCTTTGAAATATAAAACATTGCTTCGTATTCTTTCTGATGGAAAATATGACTTTTTCTGATTAAATCATATACTTTCAGATTAGAAATGTGGCTACAATAATCTTTCATACCTATTTGTTTTCTTTTTGATAGGAAGTACGACAAAATAAGAAAAATTATTTGTCAGCTTTTATCATTTACTTAATTGAAATCTATAGACAACACAAAGTAAAGTTCTTACCTACAATTGAAAGTGTCTTTATACTATGTTGTTTAATTTTTAAATAAATCAATTGGAAGTTAAAAGAAGTTATCATGATAAAGATAATTTTTTTAACTTTCATAATAAAAAAAAAGAAAAAAAAACAATGTTCCAAAATTTTTACGAAATTCCCCCTCGATTATCTAAATAGGTAAATGTTTTATTAATTGTATGTAATATTTTTTTCTTTCATTTTAGATCGGGGGACCAGATACGAATTCCGTTTATCTGGGAGAAATGCTCTAGGGTGGGGGCAAGAATTTGTGGCCTATTTTGACACCCCCGAAGGAGGTGAGTTGTTCAAATATACTTTCGTGCATTTATCTTCATTGTTCAAATCTGTTTTATCATTGAAATATCAATAATTTAATGTTTATTGCGAATAAATTATCAAAAAAATCTATTTTTCTTTAAAATAATATTATTGTCTGCAACAAACGGAGTACATTGTGCAAAAAAAAGCGAATCATCTTGAATAACTTTAGATTTAATGACAATTAATAATTTGATCTAATTTCGTGTATTTAAAATTCGATTTCTCAGGAATTATTCGACCATTTTGCTCAAATATTGTACTTTGAGATATAAAACCACATTCTTCAAAGATAATGTGAAAAATTGTACACCTTACAACTCGAAATTTTTTCGACTGTTAAAATAATGATTTGAAATTAATTCGATTGAATTGCTGTAAAAATGCATATAGATTGCAATTCAAAAATTTAGCAACCATTTAAAAATTAAGTAATAAACAACAGTTATCTTTTAATAATTGTATGCAAAAAATTTCTTGTTTGTTTTATTACTTCTAGATGTATGCCGAATTATGCATGAAGTGAAATTAACATAAAAAGATCGATGCTTTAGACCACTCTTATGGTTAAGCTATTGAAATTATATTTTTCAGGTGCTACCATCCTATTTTGAGGGTCTACAATATAAATCCATCCGAAAAAACGTGTATTTATAATAAAAAGATTAAAGACGTACAGATGTTTAATATTACCCATCATAATAAATCTCGAAATAGAGAATAAAAAGAAAAATAACGAGAAAGTTTTTTATATTTTTCTTTCATTTGATGATAATATAAATATCATCATAAAACTCATATCATAATAAAACTCATGTCATAATACCCAACTCATATTTAAATTACTAGTTTCCCCCTTAAAAAAATTAATTCAAAAGCATGTTTTATATTTCAGTCCCAACTGCTCCACCTCAGAATTTGAGCCATAATCTTCAGAGTCCAACTACAGTCGTCATAAGTTGGGATCCACCCTTAGCTCAATATAGAAATGGAAAAATTCTTTATTATGGTGTTGAGTTCCATAAAGCTCTGGAAATGAAAACACCTGAACGTAACACAACAGCTACACGACTCGTATATAGGTAAATATCGTTATTCCTTTTATTCTTTTTACCTATCCCCGAACAAGACATTTGATCGGAGAAAAATTAAAAACATTTAAAAGAGTTACAAAACAAAAACTTTTTGAAGTGTCTCAGAAACTTATTTCTAATTTTATGTCGTTAAATAAATAAAAAAAATGCATCTAAAAAATGATTCAGAAACATTGTAAAAAGTTAAGAGTTCCATTTTATAGAAAAGAATGTGCTGCCATCTATATATTAGAGAAGAGACTAATTGATTTAAGAGTAAAGTTTTAATTATTATTGATTTAAGAGTAAGTTAAGCCTATATTAAACTTATGAATAAACGGTTTAAAGTAACATTTTTTAGAGTAAATCCCTTCCACCAGAAGACAAACCCAGTCTTCAAAATTTGACATCCTTAAGCTATCTTCTTCTTTTTTCTTTTCTTTTTTTTTTTTTTTTTTTTTCGTTTAATGCAACGAAACGAAATCATCAGTATTTATCATAGAACTTTCTTTTCGGTTATCTTTAGCGTGCATATTGATAATGGGTTCCAAAACGATTACATTTCAATCCAAAATGAAATATAGTAAAAATTATTCTCTCAAAAATGTTTTAAAACGTCTAAACTTTCATCATGATTCTTTTTTAATATTTTGTGCTGCATGGTAATTTCTTCCAATATTCTCTTTTGCGACATCTGATAGTTTTACCTCTTGCTGATATACTGATAGTTCTAATAGTTTTAACTTTTGTTTTATTTTTTTCAAATTTTTAAAAGTATGTATGATTGGTAAAATAGAAATATATGGCATAAATGTCTCGAAAAGTTAAAAACTGTTTTTAGTAATATAAATTTATTCAAAGCAATCGAATATTTTAATGTTTGGTTTTAATTAAACTTTTTTCTTAAATTTTTGCCTGTTACAAATTTGTTTACAAAATGTTTAATCGATTACAATTTTTTTTCTTTTTTAAAAAATTTCTTCGTTTCGTTTCTTATTAAAATCGTAATAATACATTGCATACATTCTTATTTTACTGAAAGTTATTCTTTTTAAAAGAAAAGAATATTGCACGATTACTATTCATCTTTAAAAAATTATCAAGGTAATTTAAGAAGAGCTAGCGGCAAAAAAAAAAATCAATAAAAACGATGAGTAATAATATAAAAAGCGAACTGCAAACTGCTAAATAATTTTTACTTCTGTGAAAAATGTTTTATCTGGAAATAAAATAATTAAATATTCCAATCTGTAAATTTAGTCTTGGAAAAATTTGTGAATTTGCCTCAACATCTTATTCCTTAATTTGCTTTATTTAGTTTTGCTTCTTTATTTTTGTCTCTGAAGTTTTCTCTAAATATGTAAGAAAACTGTGCTTGAATTCGATTTAATTTTTTATATCTTAATATTCTCTATTTAACTTTCTTAATTATTCACTTAAAATTATATTGCATTAAAATATTTATGAATTCGATTCACCTTTTTATACATTAAAATTCTCTATTAAATTTTTATCTTAATTTTTCAACAGTTGAATCTAATTAAAGAATATTTGTAATTCATTTCAACTTTTTATGTCTTAATTTCCACTCTTACGTTTTCGCTCTTAATTTTTCTCTTAAAACTGAATCTAATCCCAATCATTAATGAATTCGGTTCAACTTCTGTATACTTTAAATTTAGTTCGCCCTTTACAATTTGCAACTAAATAAGGAATCAAATTAAATCTATGGATCTATTATAGGATCTAGTTAAATAAAATTAAAATTATTTGTAATTCAATTCAACTTAATGCCGTAGTTTTCTATATTTCATTTCCTCTCTTAATTTTTATAGACTGAGTCAAATGACAAATATTTGTTAATTCGATTTCACTTGTTTTATAATTCCTTCAATTTAGTTCGTTAGATGAGAATACGGAATATGCATATCGTATTCGAGCCTACACTTCAAGAGGTCCTGGCCCGTACAGCAGAGAAGTTCCCGTACATACACCCGGTGATGTTCCTACAGCTCCAACAAATGTACAGGCAATGGCCACATCTGAAACGACAGTAGAAGTGTGGTGGGATGAGGTGCCTTACTTTTTAGACATCCTAGGTTACAAGGTAAGTTTTAACAACAATCTATCAAGGATGCCTACTGCTCCGCTTTCTACGAAAGTTTTAATAAATTGGTAGCGAATTAAATTATAAAACTTTTAGAGTGAGGATAATTGCACTTCTTTTTCAGTGTCACCTCGAGAAAAATGCAATAAAGTTGCATTTCATACGATACTTCAAATCTTTTGTATGTAGTGGTGGAAAATTACTTAAACGGAAAAATACTAAACTAAAAGTAACTTAAATTTCGTGACCACTAAAAAATATGTTTTTACAAAGCGAAGCAAGTTAGCATCTTTGCATTCTATTCATGACCTTAGTTTGAAGTAAAATACATTGAGATTAAACAAAACAGTTATTGGATTCACACATTCTCATATGTCAGAAATTCTTTGGCTGTATTTCGTTAATTTTGAGAATAATTTCGTCACGTGATTTGTGACAAAACGCAAACTCTCAAATAAATGACGAAAATGTTTCCTCAGCTAGAAACGTCATCGTAGTGCATTGTGGGAGATTTTTTTTACTCGAATTACAAAACTAGAATGAAGACTAGACGATTGAAAATAAAGTGCGAAATATGCTGACCGGATTGTGTGATGGCCAAGGAGTTGGCCTCGTACCAGGAAGATTTCGGGTTCGAATCCCGCTTCGGGCATAGGTGCAATCTCTCTCTCTCTCTCTCTCTGTTTTATTTGTCTTTATTGTTGTTGCGGTGCGTTGATCCATATAACGTGATGCACACAATAATGTGATTATTAGAAAAATTAAAGTTAGCTTTAAAAGGTGAGAAGTTTGATTATTTGAGAGGCTTGTTTTTTTTTTAAATAATTCTAATTTAACTTTCAACTCTTAAAGTAAATCATTGATAGCGTAGTCTCTAGTGCACTCTGACTACAGCCTGAGGTTGTATCGTCAAAAACAGCTCTCTAAGTAAGAGCCTCGCACAAAAAATTTAGAATACATTTTAATCTACTTATATGTTTTGTTAAATTTTATTTATTGATATTTTTTCGTGTTTCCTTATTTGACCTTATCCGCATTTAGTGCAGATGTTTTCCCGGTCTCTGGGAGAGGTTTTTATGGTCTCTCCTAAAGGAAAAGGTTTTCTGCAACACAAAGCCTATGAAAAAAATTCCGTGCCTCCCAAAAGTGGTCGCAAGTAGAGGTGGTTGTTACGTAGAGGTGGTTGTTACGTAGAGGTGGTTGTTACGTAGAGGTGGGCTCTACATAGAGGTGGTCTCTACATAGAGGTAGTCTCAACATAGAGGTAGTCTCAACATAGAGGTGGTCGCTACATAGAGGTGGTCGTTACATAGAGGTGGTCGCTACATAGAGGTGGTCGCTACATAGAGGTGGTCGCTACATAGAGGTGGTCTTTCTTGGAGGTTTTTCTATAATTATATCAGTTAGAATAATTTAGAAAGACGCTAAATTTTATTCATCAATCCGTCTTTTCAAGGCGCCAACAGAAGTAACATTTCAACACCAAGAAAATGACACTGACTAAAATTAAAATCATTTACGAAAAATCATGCACCTTCGATAGCAGTTTTGAAGTCAATAGAGGTAACCTCTCAGAACGACCAACCTCCATCAACGGCCATTTTTCTATGTAACTGAGAGTGGTCGCTCCCGATAGGTTTCCCTCTAACAATATTCAACTTTTTTTGAAAAGTGTTTCCTGTATAATCTTCATATCATATTTCATTCGATCATTAGGATTATTTCAATTTGTGTAAGTATATGTCATCCTTTCGCAGGTCCTTTATAGTTTGACGACAATAGAGGATCTGGACAAATGGAATGAAAAGGAGGTTCCTCTGACTTGGTCAGCAGAGCTGACTGGGCTGGACACACACGCTATGTATGCTATCAGAGTGGCCGCTGCTACGAGACAAGGACTTGGGCGACTGTCAGAACTCATCACTGTTCGAGTCACTCCTACAGGTGAGCCAAGAAGATGGATGGTTTCTAACTTAAGAATATTTTTGTGCTCCTTGTTCGTTTTGTAAACTCACATTTCTAAATTTATACTTTCGTAGTAACGCGGTGAATTTCGTTACGCTAGTTTTCAAAACTATATTTTTAGTAAAGCATAAAATTACTAGCGAAGTAGGTACTGACAAAACCAAAAAGCTGAAACGTATATCTTAACCATAGAAAAATAACCTTCTTAAATTCAAAATCATTTATTCTAAAATGCTAATTGGATTCGATAAATGTAAACTAAAAGTAGAAAATAATTTATAAATGCATGTTATACTTACAACTCTGAAATTTATGGATATGACTATACTAAAATATTAGATTCAAATACCTCATTTAGAAACGGTTTAAATTAAATTAACCTTTAGTTTCTTATATTATCTCTATGCAATTGTTCTTATTCCTGGATATTTTTATAATAATTATTATAATTTCCTAATCGACCTGCTGCCGTAATGAGTGTACATTTTAACTTCATTTTTTTACGACAATTGTGAAAATGTAGATTAAAAGCGATAATTAGTAAACACTTTTTGTATGCACTAGAAAAGAAGGAAACAAAATTTAAATTTTAATATTCAAAACCTGATTGGGTAGGTGTTAATTCACCCATTAACGATACACTTTAATTCTGTACTCGCTTTAAATACCTCCATATGTATTTAACCCTCAGAAAATTACAATATAAATGCAGCTGTTTAGAATAATCTCGGACGTAAAGTGTTGTCGCGTATTTATTTCCATCCAATCAGAAAACTAGACAGAGCTAACTGTAAACATCTCTTTTCCAATTCACAGTCTGCTGAGCAAACGGCGTTGATTACATTGCCCGGCAATTTCTTTTTTTATTTATAACGAAACAGAACTTATTTTGATTTTCGCCAAGTTGCCACCTGCCGGCGATTGCAAAAGGAGAGAAGAACCTGAATCCAGCGATCAATAAATTGAATTTAATCTGTTTGAGTACATCTGTTAAGACATCGACCTTCTACAAATAGTCCTGGAAAAACGGGAAAAAATCCAGAAAATTCGTTTTAGGAAGTTGCTTTTACCATTTTTTTCTTTCTTTTCTCTTATGGTAGTTTCATTCATATATCGACTCGGATATTCTAGAGTAATTGGATTTCTGACTAAAACGTGTTGTGTAAATCTCTTTCATATTTTCCTGACATATTGCAATGAGATAAAAGAGTCCGAAGAAATTGGCTGATAAATTTTGGTTATAGTTGGTTTAGTTTGTTTAGGTGGTTTTTTTTTCTTCATCTTTATATTTCATGTTAAATACTTTGATCTTTCAAAATCTTCATCGTTTATTTGAAAAAGTCGGCCAATGACATATACGAGGAACATTTATTTAAGGTAAAATGTATATTTTAAGCCCCTTCTGTCAAAAAGCGGGGCAATAAATGATCGCCAATAATTTAATTGAAATACCTTTATTGAACTTGGCGCTCATCACAATGAAAAGAGCACTTATTCATGTGGGCTTGGTCATATAAAATAGGAGCAAATATGTTAAAATGTCAATGAAAGAGCAATAGGTCATAGAAATGTTATTAAAGATGAAGCAGGGTTTTAAAAAATTGTAAGTGCTTGATGCTTTATACAGATTACTAAAAATAACATACATTACCTTAAAAGAGAAACTTAATAAATAATACTGACAAGTTCATTAACTTGTATTTTTTTTTTCCTATTTTGCAGGACACATAAATTATTATCAAAATAGATACTGGATGCTTCGATGTTTTTAAAAATATAACAGGAAACAGTCACAGTAATAAATAATCACAGAAAATAAGTCACGTTATAATCCAAAAAATCAAATAAATTTTCCTTCTTTTTTTTCTTTTTTTTGCAACTTAGTAATGCGTTAAAATCGAATTTAATCTGTAAAAAAGGCTACAGTTCTTATCCATTGCCTCTTGACCTCCGAAAGATAGAATGCTTTTACTAAAATGTAAAAAAAATAGTAGTAGGTCTAAATATATTATTAAAGAAGCGTAAACTAAACTCAGTGGCGCGACAGTCCGTGGAGGGCCAAGGTCTACTGTACCCATCCCAGTTTTGTTGACCTTGGGCTCTGAGGTGAAAGAACAGATGTTCCGGTAGGGTGGTCAACCGAGCGCAGAATTCCCAGCATTTAGTCTCCAAGCATGCTTGGTACTTATTTTATCGACCCACCGAAAGGCTGAGTCAACCTTGTCAGGACCGAGGATAGAGCCTCGGACCTATGAAACCGAGAGCGCGAATCACTAACACTCAGTCACTGGTCTCATACATAAAGATGATACCACCTTACCTCATGCATAAGGATGATGCCATCTTACCTCATTCATAATGATGATACCACCTTACCTCATGAATAATGATGATACCACCTTACCTCATGCATAAGCATGATACCACCTTACCTCATGCATAAGGATGATACCACCTTACCTCATGCATAAGGATGATATCATCTTACCTCATCCATAAGTATGATACCACCTTACCTCATGTATAATGATGATACCACCTTACCTCATGCATAAGTATAAGCCACCGGGTCTCATATATAAGGCATTAAAAATGCATTAGAACAATAAAATATCACAAAGTCTTGGGAATATTTCTTTAGATTTTTAGCAATGCAACATAAAATACATTATAAAAAGATGAGAAGTACACATAACAGTATTTTTATCTATCTTCGGAAATGCTTTTGTCAAAATGAGTTCGGACCGAAATGTTATGGGAAAAAAATAGAAATATTTAAATTGTTAGTTAAAAAGAGTCTCTGATGCATATGACGTGCATATTCATTGTTTAAGTTTTTGCTTGTTATTTTTGATTAATTGTTTCATCCTCCTGTAATCAAACACAATTTGATGTTTTCAATTCCGCCTCTTCACTGGTGATTCGTAGACTTTTGATTGCGTTAGGTTTATATCGTAATTTGAGACCCTATCTATCATCGGGAGTATTTAGTTATTTAAAAATGTCCGAATTTATATTCCATTTACAGAGTTGAATCATTTTTTAGAATTATCCTCCATATTTGATAGACTACTAAACATACTTGCAATTTCTTTTTCATCAACCCGGGAACAGCTTTCCGGGGGGGGGGGACTTTTAGCACTACAACACTGCTCTTAGAAGAGTGATCTTTTTGTGTCGAACATATTATGAACATCTTTCGTAATTAAATATGTGTTTGCATTCCCCTTTTATGTCTGTGTCTTTTTATTGATCGTTTTAAACACTCATAATAAAATTACATTTGATGTCGCTTAACAATTTACACGTAATAGCAATAAATACCGATTAAAGCTAATTAAATTCCTAGAAAATAGCGTTATCAACGAAATAATATGCATGCATAACAAACACATAATACATTTGTTTTATTTTTTGTTTTTATTTAGATTAAATTCATTAATAGCGTCAACTACTCGTCGCTTGCTTTTTTTATCTTTATTTAAAATAGTTCAAAAGGATGTTTTTGAAGAAAAAAAAGTTGCTAATTGAGATTCACAGAAAACTCTATTATTCGATTAATTTAGTCTAGACTAACTCTTTCAGAACTTTCGAAAACGGAGGAGTTCGCGTTTTTTTTAACATTAAATTATCCATTCTATCATTTTCAATCTATTATTTAAATGTCTCAAATGTGTTTCTAATCTGTATGTGTCTGTAATTCCAAAGCAAACAAATATTTTCAAAGATCTATGTCGTTTATTCGAAACAATTTATCCGGTTATATATCTTAGTCTTTAAAATTACATTATTTATTCTAATATAAAACACTGGCGCCAGTTTAGAAAATGGGTTGACTAAGTTGAACATATTCAACTTTGAGTAAATCAAAGATAGACATCACTGTCTGCTAGAAAGCATTTTGAACTGTTTTGAAATAGCTATTGCACCCTATTTCTTATTCTATTAGATTACACTGGAGAACGAATTTTTTGTTGCATTTATACAAATACTTGATCTTGCTTAATTCGGGTGTAGGGATTTGAAAATTAGTTTTGCTCCTAAAGCTACAGATTTTTTCAATGACATTTTTAGTCTATTTTTTGACGAAATGTACAAGTTTAACAGCGTTACATAGCTAGAAGGTCGCATAAATGTTATGTATCATCAGGGTTAAAATTGCATAGTTATCCATTCCCTCGGAAATACGTCGCAAGTGGCTGCGGGCGCTTCTCTATTATGATCTCCTCAAAAGCACATGGAGAAACTGTTCATAATAAGGAAGCACCCCTAGCGACGTATGACGACATTTTTAGGCGTAGGTTTCTATGCGGTTTTAATCTTGATGATGTGCCTTAACTCCCCTAGATGTTTGTCGCTACATTTACCCAACCCTTGAACCTATTTCATATAACATCAACCCTATTTCATATAACGTTTTTAAACTTGTACATTTCGGCAAAAAATAAAAATCTATTGCAGATTAAATAAAACGCTGGTGCCAATTTATTGAAACTGATTTACCAACGAATTCAACTTAAAGGAAATCAAAGATAGACATCACTGTCTGCAGGAAAACATTTTGAACAGTTTAAAAATAGCTGTTACTCACAGTATCTATTCTATTAGATTACACTGGGGTATAAATTTAAAGTTTTTGCTGCATTTATGCAAATGCTTGTACGGGCTTAATTCGGGTGTAGGGATTTCAAATTTTAAATTAGTTTTGCTAATAACACTACAGATTTTTTAATGGTAGTTTTAGTCTCTTTTTTTTGTCTAAATAAGTTTTAAAAAAAAGGTTATATATAACAAAGGTAAGGTAAATATGGCGATAAACTTCTAGGACAGTTAATGCACATCATCGGAATTAAATTTGTATAGTAACCCATGCCCGAAAATGTCATCGTGCATGGCTAGCTGCTTCTGTTTTAGGATTTGTTCTGAGGGACATAGAGAAACAGATCTTAATAGGGAAGTGCCCCTAGCGACGTATGATGACATTTCCGGGAGTGGGTTTCATGCAGTTTTAATCTTGATGTGCCCAAACTTCCGTAGAAGTTTGTCGCAACATTTACGTGACCCAATGTTACATATAATTTTTTTAAACTTGTACATTTCAACAAAAATGTCGTTTGAAAAAACTGTAGCTTGGCGAGAAAAAGCGATTGCAGATTTGAATCCAAAAATATCCTAGATCTGTTTAAAAAAATCTCGTGCTAACAAAAAACATTGTTCCTCAGTTTTATTCTTTTATATTAAAATTTAAACCTTTTTCACAACGGAAAGGTTTTATGAAAAACTTCATATAGTTGTTTATCAAGATAATATAGCAATCAAAAAAAGTTTTTTAGGAGTTGTATATTTGTAACGCCAAGTCAGATCTGAAATTTTTTATCGCCTAGTCTGTAAATAAATTATTTAGTTTTTTTAATAACTTTCGTTCAAAAATATTCCATGTAATTTCACTATATAATATGCTCACTTTCACATGTTTTATTTTTATTTCCTAGATGTTCCAATGCATCTTAGAGCTCAAGACGTAACAACGCATAGCATGTTACTGACATGGAAGCCACCAACTAAGCTAGATGCTGTTATGTATAAGGTAAGACTTTATTTATGATATATTTAAAAAAAAATTTTAAAAAAAACCCTTAAAAGTTTGATGGCTTAATACTTTAAAATTTTTGTCAAAAATGTAGACAAAACACAAAATTTTCTATATTTTTTTCGCTAAACTTCCTATATCTCAATCTTGATATATGGAAAAATAATGCGCGGTAACGAATTTTTTGTAAAAACTTATGAAAAGCAAAAATAGGGCGCAAAATTTGGATCAACCAGCCACCACTGAGATTCGAATGTGGATCATCTCATTGGGGAGCAAGCGCTCTAACACCCGAGAGCCACATCTTAATTTTTTTATAACCGTCGTTTAACAGCCGACCTAAATTTTGAGTTACGACTACTAAAGTTCAACTCCGTAGCCTTGTAATTTTGAACCCAATCCAAAAGACAAGGAAGCTCTTGGGTCAAGTATTGGGCTAATTTGACTTTCGTTCAGAACTTTTTGATGGAACTAACCACATTTGCGTTACATGGAAAGGAAAACTACGAAAACCTCCAACGATTATCCTAATGGCAATGGGACTCTAAAACATGATCGGTCTACCATTGTGGTCCATGAGAGCCGGGTGCGGAATTCGTATCGACCAGTCATCGCTGAGATTCGAACCCGGTTTACCTTATTGGGAGGCGAGCGCTCTATCCCCTGAGCCACCACGGCTCCTATTACCATCATTTTATTTTATAACCGTCGTTGAACAGTTGACCCAATTTAGAGTTTACGACTGCTAATATTGAGCTCCGTAGCCCTGTAATTTTGAACCCAATCCAAAAGACAAGGGAACGCCTGGATCAAGTATTGGGAGAAATTTGCTTCGTGGAGGACTTTTTGATAGAACTAGCCCGCATTTGCGTTACATGGAGAGGAAGACAACAGGAACCTCTCACGGTTAGCCTGACGGCAAAGGGACTCTAACCCATGATCCGTCTACCACTGAGGATATTGTAAGTCAGCACTGTGGTCGAACAGAATTCAAATCAACCAGCCGACGCTGGAATCGAACATAGGTCGCATCATTGGGAGGCGGGCGCTATATTCCCTGAGCCATCATTGATAGTTTTCTAGATATTATGTTCTTAACATATTTTATATTTCTCATAGATTTCATACAGTGCTCATAAGGAATTCTACGACAGCCATGGCGTCCTTCAAGAACTCCCACTCCCTGCCAAGTCCGAACTCCAACCAGCTACCATTACAGAACTGAAAGTGGACAATCTCATGCCTTTCACCAGTTACCAAGTCAATATCACGGCCATTCCTCAAGATGAGAGCTTCCGACCACCTGCTAAGATCACTGTGACCACGGCCATGGCTGGTAAGTGACTCCACTGTATTCCATGAAAATTTCCATAGCAACTGTTTTATTCTGAGCAAACTAGTTTGACTCATTCAACCTTGGTTAGAATATCGAATTTTTTTATTCCCATTCATATTTTGCCAGTGCTCCATATTTTATTGTAGACAGAAAAGTAAATCTTGGTTTAAACTTTATTCTAAGAAAAAAAATTTATACTTCCTCTTGAAACAGTGTAGTTTCAGTTTTAAAGTCTGTCTTAAATATGTTTTCGTCCAGATTCTCGACTTTGAAATTTCTTGCCATTAGTCTCGTAGTATAAATCCTGATGTATCACCAAAACTTTTTCGAAGTCTTAAATAAACCTAGTCCATTTTTAAAAAAAAAGCCTATTTTTTTTATATATATATATACATGGGAAGATTTCATACTCATAAATCATCCCCTTCTCAAAGCACTCATACAGAGAACTCAATATTTGCCTTTTTCCAAATCTATTGACAAACTGAGTAAATAAGAAAAATAACTCTTCCTTTCATGGATTTGGAGTTTTTCGTAATCCCTTTTTTTTAATAATTTTTTAAATAATACTGTGTGAATGTAATAAATTATTATCTTCTGCGTTTAAGTATTAGCAGGGGTCTGTGCAGACATTTTGTGAAATGTCCTGTTTTTATAAAATTGTGAAAAAACTGCTCATAATTTGTGAATATAAAATGAGCGTTAAGTCGCATTCTTTCAACCAGGGTCCTTCTTTTGTGAATTTGTGCAAATGGGGTCCTGTTATTTCAAAAATTGCTAAAAACCTTTTCAAGAAGTTTTTAAATTGCAAATAGATACAGGATTCTGCCCAACAATTGCTTCTTCTAGATTAGAGATGCAACTTACAAATATTTGATATTTAGCCTGTACTGCTCAACGCAGAATATTCATTTCGGACGAATGATAGAAACAAAATCACTCACATTTTTAATAATTTCCATTGGCATATTTTAAATAACACAACTTAGTTATGTATCACTTTTAATGTGTTTCGCATTAAGTAAACTTAAACAATTCTTAAGTTTATAATATTTTATATAAAAAATTGCCAGAAATTAATTTTTATTTGCATAATATTCTATTAATTAATTTTGTGAATAAATATAAATTTATCAATTATGTATTTTAAAAAAATTATCATTTAATATCAATAAAAATGTGCACACGATATTTGTAAAAGTAGAAATATTTTCTTAGAATACTACATTTGGAATTTAAACTTAGAGAAACTTGGAAAACTCTCAAACCGTCTTTCCTCATCCTCCCCCCGGGAAGGATTAATTCCATTAACAAAACAATAATGAAGATAAAAAAATTTGTGAAGGGTCCGTTTTTATGAAAAGATATTTTGTGAAGGGTCCGTTAACGGACCCAAATTTCTTCTAAACAGACCCCTGATTAGTTTTTTTAATTTTTTGTTTTTCTAAAATGTTAAGCAGTGACTCAGCTTCGTAGAAAGTGTTACGTTTAATATCTATGTCTTGAGAAAAATTTTTAGTTAATACAGTCTTGCTCATATCAACCCTTTGACATAAAATCTATAATAAGCATATTTTTCATACTTTTGTTTTCATTATCTTGCATTAATTTAGGTCAAAATAAATTTAAAATATAATATCCAGCATATTAATAGTCTACGGTGATAAAATAAAGCGTGAGATGCCATTTTCTGCATTAAGTGTAAAATCTCGCTTCTAAACAATAATTTTTCGAATTTGCACTTTTTTACAATTATTTGGATCTAAGAGAAACAGTTATTCATCAGTGAAATTTCTTTAATTTACAAAATCAGTTATGGATATAGTTTTGTATATAAATGAAAAACAAATTCAAGCAATTTTTTTTTAATTTTTTATTTTAGTATAATTATAATCAGATAATCCAACAGATTTTGGTCAATAATATAAGACTGTTTTTTGTAATTAAAAAATGCAAAAATTTATTTCTACTTATAATTAGAGAGTAAAAAAAAATACTTTAAAGGAACACCGGTGTCTCGGCCCATAAGGTTAAGAAACGAATGCTTGAAATTTATTGTGTTTCCGTAAAAATCATTTGAATCAATTTTTTTTTAATTTATCATTAAAATAATTTTTTAAAAATTCTCCGCTTTGGAATTTCGTGTTATCTCGACTGAGTTTGAAATCACAAAGCTCTTATTTTTCCGATCAAATCAAATTAGTTTCATCCATCAAAAAGTTATTTCTATCCAAATTCTCGACTACGGATTTTCTTGTTATCTAAACAAAATTCAAATTTTCGAAGAAGTTTAAAATATACAACACATGGATTTAAGTATTTCTCAGTGTCAATGACATAAAACAAAACGACAAAAATAATCTGTCCCAGACATTTATTTGATTTTCAGATTATATAATGAACAGTTTGGTGTTTTGCTAAATAACGGAATTTAATTCTGAAGCATTTCCAGACATCTAAAGGAATTTTTCTTGGATATGACACCTAAACAATTCCTATAGTCTTTTTGTTCGTGTATATGACATTTAAGATCAAATTTATTATTCATAAAAGAATTCGTAATGAAATAAATGTTTTATGAGACATGTCTTTTTAGTCTGCACCATTTTTCTAAATTTGTGAGTACATTAAAAGAAAAACTGGTGATTAATAAACTTGATTTCCTTAATATTCCAAAACAAACTTCAATCTAGAAGAGAAAATACTGTACGTTAAAAACAACAGAAAAAGTCAGCTTGTTATAAAGATGGAATAATACGATAGAATAATACTAGTTAGAAAGATAGATAGAATATATTAATTTTATTTAGATACAATATATATTATAAAAAAAATATATTATTTTTATTTCCGTTTTAGCTTAATAATCTTTGAACAATATTGGAATTTGAAAATAAGAAATTTTTATGTTGTTTATAGTGGCCACAACACTCAGGAAAAAAATCTCTGACTTTTCCCTGATATTTCCAGAAAGATTTTATCGAATTTTCCTGATTTTTGTAATCGCCGGGCATAAATTTTATTACTAATTTTTCAGTAATGTCTTACTATTGTGCGAAAAATTTACATTACAAAACACGTGTATCTGTTATTAGAATTGAAAATAAAAAAATTAAATTTAAAATTATTAAAGACTCATTTCTCCGGCAAAAATATTGGACTTTTAGGTAACTCAAACTCTAATTCATTTTCTGTGATTTTTTTTTGGTTATATTAAAAAATTTTCCTGTTTTTTGTCTGATTTCCCTGCACTGTGGCCACCTGCATTTGCAACTTTTATTGGTAGCTAATGATATCTTTTGTTGGTAGCTATTAATACAGTCAAACCCCGCTATAGTGAACCTTCAAGGGGCCGAAATTTTTGTTTACTATAACCGGGAGTTCACTATATCCGTTACGTCGGCAATTTAACTAATGGTTCCCAAACTCCTCCCTTTTATTACACATTATTCAAATAAATGACTGAAAAATATTATGTAGTAGCAAAAAATGTGTTGTTCTTCAATATTCTTCATCATGCGTGCAAAAAAAAAAAATTTTAATTTTTAGCTGATGAGCAATCCTCAACATCAGATACGGAAACGCTTCCTGACTCTCAGATGATTTTTCCTGAATTTCTGTTATTCCGCTTTTTATACCTGTCTAACCTGCCATTCGAGCACATAAAAATAGTCTCATAAAATCGCTTCTCTGTCTAAAATCGACATTTGTCCAAGATACTGGAAGATTGCGGCTTCTTCGAATGGTGAACCACTTCAATAATGCTTCTTCAACATCCTTATGATCTGCTTTTCTTAACTTTTTTCTGCCTTCTAAATTTTTTTCATGAGCAGAAATTATAAATTGCCCATTTTTCCACATGTTACAAACTACAGATTTGAATAGTTTATATTCCCTGCAAAAATCAATTTGATTGCTTCCATTTTAAATTTTTCTGATTATGCCCATTTTATCATCAATATAGAACGTTTTACGTTTACTGGTTTCCATAGTTAAATTTGAGACTCTTGTTTGCAGACTTTTTTTTATCTGGACTGAAAGAAAAAAGGAATTGAAATGAGAGCCTTATCGACACATATTAGTGTCTAACCCTTTGACAAATACCGAATAATTACTCATTCCCTCCGACAGAAAATGCATATTGATCCCACTGACATCTTAAATGTGCATCATCTGCCTGAGTTGGAAACATCTTCTTGGTTTGTTTAGGTATTGGAAAGTGCGATAAAAAGCGGCAAACAAGAAAAAATGCTTATCGCTACATTCCCCTCTATAGATAGTTTTAAACATTGGTATATGTATTTATTTTGAAGTAGAAGTTTCAAAATCATTACAAAAAAAAATGAAGAAAAAAATCAGTCGAAGACAGAAAAAAGTTCATTATATCCAACTTCCTCACTTTTTTGGTTCACTATATCCACAAAAAATAACTTTATACGTGTATAGCAAGGCACGGGACCGAATATTTCGTTCACTATATCCGGGGTTTCACTATAGCGGGATTTGACTGTATTTTAAACATATAAGAATTTTATGATATTGAATGCATAAATTTTATTCCTACTGTACTTGATCGATATACCTTCTTTTTTGTTTTGTTTTGTGTTTTTAAATTTTAATCGACTAAATAATCCCAAAATTAAACATGTATTTTATGTTATACATTTATATTTTGTTTACAAATTCAAAAACAAAGGAAAATTTATCTTAAGGCAAATCAAATAACTCATAAAAATAAACATGTAAAGCTAAATAAATACATTTTCACGAAATTATTTAAAATATATATCTTTCTTTCAAAAAATTCTTTTGCATATCTAAAAAATCATTAAGGTAAAATAATGTTGCATTAAAAGGAAAAAAAGAAATGAAAATAAAACTTTTCAATTCCTCGAATTTGTAACGTAACTCCTAAAAAAACTAATTAACTCAAATTTACTCTTTAGCAAATAATCCAAAAAATTGGAGCAAAAAAATTTAAAAACAATTACTTATGTTAGCGAAATTTTTTTTGATTATTAAATTTGCGGGATTAATTTTATATACCCACTAAAATAATTCTCTCTCTTATTAATTTATTTTCTCTTACTCTTTTAAGAGACAATTTTTTTGTTTTAAAAAATTTTATTTTGCAATCATTTGGGAATTGTGAAACAAGACTAAATTTTTATGTTTATAAGTGAAAAAATAAACGTGTTTTCACAGAATTGCAATAACATTTTCTTCTTATTTAATTTATTATTTAAATATTTTAGCTCCCGAAAGAAATTGTTTCGCTAATCCGAATATATTTTTTTTATTTGGTTTTAACACCCACTTAATATTTATATTTACGTACGCTTATTTTACAAATTGTTCTAAAAACTTCATTTTTAGTATTTCTTCAATTTATTATAGAAAATATAAAGAAGTAATTCTCAAATTTCAGAATTACTTAAGACAATAATAATTTTCCTTTTAATTATAGTTTTATTTATAATAATTAATATAACTGTAATTTTATTCCCTTTTAATTATAGTTATAATTTTAATTCAAAATATTTTAAAGATGTTCGATTAATTTATTCGATATTGAAGCCGCTATATTTCGATACAAGTAGAACTATGCGGGGAAGATTAGAATTATTTGTTCCTGATGAATATAGATGGCAGTACTTAATTAAAAATGTTTTTTCTTGATTCGGAAGTTAACATGTTTTCATGTTTTTCGAACGAGGACAGCAATAAAATTTAAGACATTTAAAAAGAAATAATTCTCTTGTAAAAATAATAAAAATAACAGTTGATCTTGAACAAATTCAACAACACAATATGATGGGAATATTAAAGAGAGAAAAAAGTCCAATTGTAAAAGAAATAAAACTAACTTTTTTTGTTTAACGAACTTAATATAATAGAATGCGGACATTTAAAAAAAAAAATAATTCTATTATTAAAGCAATAAAACTAACAATTGATGTTTAATAAATTTAACAGTACAATAGGATACGGACATTTAAAAAGAAATAATTCGATTGTAAATGCAATAAAAATAACAGTTGGTCTTTAACAAACTCAACAGCACGATATGATGGGGTTTTTTTTATTTATTTTTTTTTGAAGTCCAATTGTAAATATAATATAACTAACGATTTATGTTTAACATACTTAATACAATAGGATGGGGACATTTAAAAAAAATAGTTACATTATAAGAGTATTAAAAATAACAGTTGATGTTTAATAAACTTAACAATACAATACGTTACGGACATTTAAAAAATAATAATTCTATTGTAAATGCAATAAAAAAATTGATCTTAAACAAATTCAACACAATATGATGGAAATATTTCCAAAAAAAGCAAAGGCCAATTGTAACAGCAATAAAACTAACGATTTATGTTTAACATGCTTAATACAATAGAATGCGGACATTTAGAAAAAAAAAATTCTATTATAAAAGCAATAAAACTAACAATTGATGTTTAATAAATTTAACAGTACAATAGGATACGGACATTTAAAAAGAAATAATTCTATTGTAAAAGCAATAAAATTAACAGTCGGTCTTTAATAAACTCAACAACACAATATGATGGGGTTTTTTTTTTGTTTTTTTTAAATTTCAATTGTAAAAGTAATATAACTAACTCTTTATACTTAAGAAACTTAATACAATGGGATGCGGGCATTTTTAAAAAAATAGTTAAAAGCAATAAAAATAACAGTTGATGTTTAATAAACTTAACAATACAATAGGTTACGGACATTTAAAAACAAACTCAACACAATATGATGGAAATGTTTTATAAAAAAAAGATCTTATGTTTAACATACTTAATACAATAGGATGCGGACATTTAAAAAAAAAATAGTTACATTATAAAAGCAATAAAAATAACAGTTGATGTTTAGACTTAGCAATACAATAGGATGCGGACATTTAAAAAGAAGTAATTCTATTGTAAAAGCAATAAAAATAGCAGTCGGTCTTTAAAAAACTCAACAACACAATATGAGGTGAATATTTCAACAACAACAAAAAAGTCCAATTGTAAAAGCAATAGAATTAACGATTTACGTTTAACAAACTTAATACAATGGGATGCGGACATTTTTAAAAAAATAGTTTTATTGCAAGAGCAATAAAAGTAACAGTTGAAAAAAATCTCATTGTTTCTAATATGAGATTGAATTTCTTTAATGTGCAGCTCCCAAGCCAATGGTGAAGCCGGACTCTTACGGAGTACACAACAACATGGAGATCTCCGTTGTTCTACCTCAAGCATCTGAAGAGTACGGTCCCATCAGTCATTACTTCCTTGTCGTGGTTCCTGATCAGTTTGCTTCAAAAGAACCTGATGACTTTTCTATAGAAGAGGTTCGTTTACTTCTTTTATGTTACCAGAAGAACTCGCATGAAATAATGAGAAAAAGTTTACATTCCATCGTGTAAACTCAGTAGTTTTTGTTTAAAAGTAAATTTTCTTTATTCTGTGCTAATAATAACGTTCCTCGAGGTTACTTGAAGTTACTCATTAATACAGGGTACTCTCCAAAGTCTGTATTCACCCTCTTAGCTTTAGAACGGTTGGAGATATAATGTTAAAAGTGGTGTCTAGGTATAATAAAGTGCCTATCTGCAAAACGAGATTCTGACAGCAAGATTCTGATCTGTTCTACCTGGTAGAACAGATTTCTACCAGGTAGCGCTGTCAGAATCTCGTTTCTTGTTAACATTTCGATTTTTAAAACAATTTGAAATGTAAGACGAAAAAAGTGAATGAAAAAGTTAAAGAACATCAATAAGTACAAATAGACACCTTGTGGACATTAATGCTAATAGAACACTTTAAACGGACCTTTTTTGTAGTTTTTTACTATGTCGCGTAATGACACAATCCAGAAAAAATTAACGATCTATCTTTAAATACCTTTATTTTTTTATATCGAAAATGAAGGTGTAATAAGTTTTTTTTTTTAAATTATTTAATCGGTTTAAAGTCTTGAAAACTAAAAACGGCCAGTTGCTAGATTTGCGCATGTTTTATTTTTAATAATTAGTTTACAAGGTGTTGTTGTTTCTAATGCCAAAGCCAACCATCAAGCCTACTTGAGGAAACCAAGCGAATTTAAGGCAGTATGTGAGTTTCTTATTTATCAGTGGCGCCATCTATGGCCAAAAACACGACTTCAGCCACACACATGTGACAGCCTGTTTTTAGGGCGGACCCATTCAGACATTCATTTATTCTTCGAGAGATCGTAGTTATGACCTAAACCAAAGAACGACCAATCTCTAGTTCAGTGCCTTCCAAAGGTATTGATTTGTTACGGGAACATGGAGGACTTTGTGATCCCGATAGATTTAACGTGTACTAGTCACTATTTACTACACAGGGTGCTTTCGGCCGGCGGGAATCGAACTCACTACCTCTTTGATATGGGCTCCCTTCTAACCAAGCCATCCTGGGCTATCACAAGTTGTAAATTCCTTTCCAGTTTTGTATTTCAATTTGCTCCTAAAACCATGTACGGTTTTCAGGAAGGAAGCGCAATAAAACGCTGTTTTCCGCCAGCTAGGAATGTAAGAGATCTTATCTTGTGGTGCATTACTATTTTACTATAGAGTCACACACCATTTTCTTAACTAACTGTAACTTTAGCTATTCATAAGTTAAAAGTAGTGACACATTTTTCATTGGGCACCCTGTATGGTGTCTAGTCATTAATTTAAAATACAATCCACCTTATACTATTATTCGCCTTGTCAACCTTCTAATTTCTCATAAGGGATAACATGCTCCAAGTCAGTAAATGGGCGAACATGTTCATCAATAAATAAACGAAATTCGTGGTTCAGCAATCAAAGACCATTTAGCGGTTTGCGCGCATTCCTAGTTACAATTTTACTTTTCTAAAGATAACTATTCTAAAGATTACTATTTCTAAGGATAAAAACTATAAATTACAGTATTTAAAACTTAACTTTTTAATACGATGTTATTAAAAAGATGAGATCTAAATATTTAAATAAATGTGAAGCTCGGGAAAAAAATCCACACTTTATTAGAACTACAAATAAGTACGTTTAAGTTAATAAGATAATAGAAATAGTAGTATTTTATTTATGTTGCACTAGAGCTGCATAATGGGCTATTGGCGACGGTCTGGGAAATTTCCCTTATAATGATCTGATGACATGCTATCACAATTTTGATCTACGGAAGGGATCTCTCCTCCGCTTTGGCCTGCAAAGATTTGAGCGAGAAGTCGAGCCCTTTACGGTAGAACAATTTAACGAAAATTAACACCACACACCCTCGATCCCTCCGCAGACTATCAAAGTGTCCATCCACCCGCAAAGTGATCACTGCGAGTGATGCTTGACTTCGATGATCTGCTGGTAACCGTATCACAACGATTAGTCCACCACGCAACTAATTTAAGAAAGAAGGATTTTTTAAAAAAAAACATGCCTGTTGCAAGATTATATATATTTTTTCAAGTAAAAGTGAATTTAGATCAGTTCAGCAAATAGTTCAGATTTCAACACGGAGAATTACAGGTTCGACTTATGCCCCTTTCTAACCAACACGCGGGAGTTACGCTTCTCCGAAAGAAAAACAGAAGAAAATACCACAAGGTTTGATGATTTCTTCTGTTTTTCATGAGGCCGTTAGTTGATTGTAATATCTTCTTCGGTACTTTAACCGAGTTCATTGATTCGTTCCACCACAACCGCAATTTGAGTAAATATTTAACTGTTTAAACATCGTATCACAGCTTTTTGAGCTCACACTTATGGTGACTGTTAGGCGTTGATTATTTCTAACTCATTGTATTTTCAGCTCACTGCCACCAGACCGGATGAGACAGGTCCATACGTAGCAGCGAAATTCTTACGTAGGAGCATGCCGGAAAAATTCAACCTTGGTGACGGTAAAATGCACTTGGGATTTGTGAATCGACACTTACTCCATGGAGTCAAGTACAGAGTTTTTGTTCGTGCTGTTGTCGATACACCACACAAAGTACGTAACTAAAATCTTCCTTTCCGATTCGATTACAATTCTTGACTAAAATAAAATTTGAATTCGTTCTCCGAAAAATTATTTCCCTGAAACACTGTTTACACTATTATTGCATTTACACAAGTCTGTTTACATTTTACTTCAGTATTAGAAAGTTATTTTTAAGAGAAAGTGTCCGGAAAAATATAATTCTTAATACGCATGAAATCAAAACTCAATGCAATAATTGCATTTTTTAATCTTATACAAAAAGTTAGGGTTACTTTGTGCTATGTAGACTAAAGCAAAAACTACGTGAATAAAGTACACGAATTCACATACCATAGCTTCATAACTTCATTTTGACGTTTAAGACTGATGAGGGTTCTTGTTTATGGAACTGAAACTATAGTATGTCCATTTATGTATGGTGCGCCAAATAAAAGACCACACTGAATAATTTTTTATCTAATGATCGGATCTTCACATTTTAGGTCTCTATTTTAATGGTTTGAGGGGGTGACCTCAGATATGCTAATTAATTAGTGCAGACGATATTTGAAACAACGAAATCGGACACAAAAATGTACTTTCTCTCAATAAACATACTCTGTTTTCAACAGATTCGGATTTCTGCCCCCCGAAATATTAGGTTTAACCGCAATCTGGGAAATATGGTATCCATAGTTTGGTCAAGAGACCGATCTAAAGTTTGAACTCTTTAATGTTAATTTTACTTTTTGCGTATTTCACCATATCTCGAGACTTTTTTAAGCGAATTGAAAAATCCTTGTACTCACTTATAAGATTCTTTTGTCCAAATATAATGCCATGCAAAAACTTAATTTTAGAAAATATTTATTATTTTATTAAATAATAGTCGAGCAAATTTAGAATTGTGAGGTATGTAAATTTTTACATCATTTTGAAGTATGTATTTTTACATGGCAAAATAAAAATTTTGAGCGAAATCGGTTGAATAGTTCCTGAAAAATCGAAGTTTCGAGAAGTCATATTTTTAAAATTCGATTTCTCAGGAACTATTCAACCGATTTCGCTCAAATTTTTTATTTGTTATGTAAAATTACATACTTTTATACCTAACAAATTCAAGATCGATTTTCTTATTAATTCATATGTTTTTCTTTTATAATGTTTTTTCTACAATTGTGTAATATTGTTAATGGATTTATCATTTGTACTGAGCACAAAATTAAAAAAAACGAGCACCATCAATAAATTTTAACCTGATGATTGTTTTTTCACGTTCTATGAATCAATTTAAGAAGTTTGAAGTTCTAATCTTAAATATTTTGAGGTCCTAACCTTAAATATTTTGAAATCCTAACCTTAAATATTTTGAGGTCCTAACCTTAAATATTTTGAGGTCCTAACCTTAAATATTTTGAAATCCTAACCTTGAATATTTTGAGGTCCTAACCTTAAATATTTTGAGTTCCTAACCTTAAATATTTTGAGGTCCTAACCTTAAATATTTTAAAATCCTAACCTTAAATATTTTGAGGTCCTAACCCTAAATATTTTGAGGTCCTAACCTTAAATATGCTAATTAATTTGTGTAGACGATATTTCAAGTCAGACACAAAAACATACTTTCTCTGAATAAACATACCTTTCCTCAACGGATTCCGATTTCTAATCCTCAAAATATGGGAGGATAGCCCCAATTTAGAAAATATGTCTCCAATTGTTTAAGCAGGAAAACGATCAAACGTTTGGATCCCTTTAATCTAAAATTTCCTCTTTTGCGTTTATTGCTTTTTATTTAGAAAATATGTCTCCAATTGTTTAAGCAGGAAAACGATCAAACGTTTGGATCCCTTTAATCTAAAATTTCCTCTTTTGCGTATTTCGCCATATCTACAAAACTAATAAAATGAATCAAAACAATTTGTGCACTCGACTTTTAAACGATTATAATTCGAATGAAAATAAAATTATTTATAATCATTTTTTATATTATAATAAGCTAAAAAAAAGTTTAATTTTATAAGGTATAAAAATTTTTATACTAGATCGATCTTCATAGCTGTAAAGGACAAAATCCGAAATTTTTATTTTATTTTATGACAGTCGTTGAACAGCCGACCCAATTTTGGGTTTACGACTACTGATGTTCAACTCCGTAGCCTTTTAATTTTGAACCAAACCAGAAGACAAGAAAATTCCTGGATCAGTACAACAGAGGTATGATGTGTGAGGGGAACATGGAGGACTTGGTGACTCGACAAATTTAACGTGGATTAGCCACCATTTACTACACGGGGAGTCTACAGGGTTTGAACCCACACCCTCTTGGACAAGGGCCCAGTGCCCATGGTCAATTAATTCTTCAATCAGTCAATTAATTCTTGAGTAAAAAAAAATTTTAAATATGAACCATAATAACCAGAATTTTACCAGATTTTACCAGAAAAGTGTTTCATGCTGTATTTCATAACCATAAATAATTAAAATGCTGATATAAAATATCGCCTGCACAAAACAATTAGCATATTTAAGATTAGGCAATCAAACCATTATGATCAGTGAAGTGATAAAGTATGCGAAAAAAACGATCATTAAATCAAAAGTTACCCATGGGGTTAGCTTTTTCGTACATGCAAGTAATCTTGATATTTGCTGTTAGATGTAGGATAATTTCAGATAGTACTATCCTGATTAAGATGCTGTTTACGTACTATATAAAATAACGAAATTTTAAGAAAAACTGCAACAATTTTTTTACTTCATTAATATTTAGCTTCTCATGGAAATTTATTGAAATTACCTTGAACCTAGTTAAAACTAGTTTATTGATTTAGTTAAGCTATCAGCAGAAACAATTTGAAGAAAAATTTGGACCAACACTCAAATAATTAAATTTTAAATTGTTTATTTAATTAAAAGTCTAAATTTTATTTATTTTTTATTTTATTTTAATATTTTTATTAAATTCAACTTTTTTTTAACTGAAATATATAAACAAAAACACTTATGTAAAGGGAAAAAAAACTTTTTTGTATATTTTGTAATCTTTTTCCTCAACACCCCTTTATACTCAACATGAGATCACCCACCCACTCGTCTTGGACGAATGCCCAAAAGAATCACCCCCTTTTAAAACCCTTGAATACCCTAGAAAAGCATTTGAGACAGAAGCATTTGTATTGTTGTATCGTTAATTCAATATCCTTATCCCAAAACACATTTTTCCCCCTTTCATCGATTTTTCACCATTTTTTTTTCCTACTCATATTATTACTCATATCCCTCGATATGTTTTCCTTTCAGAGTCTTTACACCAGCAGTCCATTCTCTGACAGTTTAAGTCTGGACATGGCTGCTGCGCCCGGACATCCGGTCGTGGTGGGCAGCGGTGGGATGTGGGACAAGACTGACCGACCGGACATTTCGGAGATAGACGGGAGTGCGGAGGAGGCCGGAGTGATCTGGATCGTGGCGCCTGTTCTGCTCCTCCTCATCATCATCACTTTCGTCGTCGTCTTAGTGCTCCTCAGGAGGTAACACGCTCCTCCTTTTATCTTGTAACTCCATCTCTGTGTTATCTTGTAACTCCATCTCTGTGTTATCTTGTAACTCCATCACTGTTTTTATTGGTGTTATCTTGTAAAATTATTATTTTTTTTCCTGGTTAAAAAGTAACTAAATGAAAATGAATTTCAAGTCTGAAAATGTTTGGTGGATGTTGTTGTTTTATTTGATAGATCACGTACTTATTTTGGTGCTCATGATTTTTATCATCTTAACTATTATTTTTATGTGTCTTGTTGTGAAGGAAAGGTAATATATTTAAATAGCTTTTTTTTATTTCTTGTTTTTTTTTTTTTACATTTAAGTATTAAAAGTATTCTTTAAAGAGTAAAGTTTTTCAAAAGTTATTTTGTTAACATATGTTTCAAGTTTCGTAAAAATTTTTTGAATCTTAATATTGTTATGGATTATCCACCTAAATTTGATAAGTCATGAACTTTTGTCGCGCTTATATTAAAGTTCTTTTTAAAAAACTTATCTTGGTGCTCATGACTCTTTGATGAAATTATTTGGTGCTCATGATTAAAACTTATGAGTTATTTGGCTTGTACTAATTTTGGTGCTCATGATTTTTATCATCTTAACTATTATTTTTATATGTCTTGTTGTGAAGGAAAGGTAATACATTTAAATAGCTTTTTTTATTTCTTGCTTTTGTTACATTTAAATATTAAAAGTGGATTTTGTAAAGTGTAAAGCTTTTCAAAAGTTATTTTGTTAACATATGTTTCAAGTTTTGTAAAATTGTTTTGAATCTTAATATTGTTATGGATAGTCCACTTAAATTTGATAAATCATGAACTTTTGGGGTGCCTAGTTATTGTTTTTATACGTCGTGTTTATACAGTACAGAACCCGTTGTCCGGAAATCAGAAAACCGGAAAACCAAAAGACCGGAACGAAATTCGATAAATTTTCCACCATTTTAAAAAAAAAATTTTTTTTTTCCTCATAAGATTTTAGGATTTTTCTTTCTTTTTGGAAAGATGTTTACCTTACTATCATTTTGGAAATAATCATTAGTGTATTACTTCGTTTTTTCTTCTTTTTAAGAATATTTCTAAATTTTTTTTTTTAGTTGGGTTTAACAATAAAAAAAAATGGCTTTTTGTAGCGATTCAGAAAACCGGAAAAATCGGTTATCCGGAATGGCGATGGTCCCGATCGTTCCGGATAATCGGTTAACTACTGTATAAAAGTTTTTTTTTAACAAGAACTAGAAGCCTTTAAGAAAATTGTTGTTAAAATTCAAAATTTTAAAATGTTTAATTCAAGTTAAGTCCCTTTGATGTAGATGGGAAAGCAGTGTCCCTTTTATGTAATTTTTTTCAGCCTCTCAAGTTACAATTAAGAAAAATCTATCTATATATCAGTTACTAAAAAATATAATAGATTATCGGAATTATATTTATATTAAAATATAAAATCCAACAAAAAGTAGTTTGAAAATGTTTTGTCATTCATATTCAAAGTTTTATCAATAATTGATTTTGTAAACTAAAGAAATTTCAATGATGAATGATTGTTTCTCTTAGATCTAAATAAATGCAAATGAGTGCAAATTTGAAAAATTATTATTTGGAAGTGCCAATAAAGACACCAGTGTTTCATGCTATATTTTATAATCATAAATTATTAAAATATTAAATATAATATTTTTCACTTATTTTGACTTAAATTAATACAAAATAATGAAAATTATATGTTTTATCACCTTAATTATAATTTTTGTGAATAGTTCTGAATAAAAGATTATAATTTTGATACATTATATTTTTTTCTTGCAAATTGGAAGCATTCAAAAACAGTAAAACAATTTTCAAAATCGCATTTATAATGCATCATTTAAAATTGTTTTGTTGTATTTTAATCATAATAAAGAGTATGCTAGTTAATATTAATTATTTTAAATATCTTTGCTTGATGAATCATGTATGATATTAAACTAAAGCTTGTAATTTATATTACTTTGTTATTATTGTCATGTATCTCACTTTTATGAGGGGGGATTTAATTAACACATGAAAATGTGAGAGAGAAAATATTAATTTATTGAACTTCTGAAAACTGATGAAAAGATTTTAACCATGAGGAGTTTTTTGGGAAACAAATTTAATTTTGTCTACATTTTTATTCAAATGTTTTTTTTATTTTATTAATATATCTAAAAACATAGCTCAGAAACGAATAAAAAGAATTTATAGTTATTAATTTATTTGGTAATCAATGGAACACATTGAACTGAACTGAGATTTTACAAAATTTGTCTGAAATAATTACTGCAATAACTGTATTTAATTTTATTTGTCTGAAAAAGTTAAATACCTACTTAGATCCTTAGTTCCCTAAAACTAATAGAATATTCAAAGTTCCAATTTTCTTCCTATCTGTCAGGCGACGTCAACTTGCTAAACAACCTGCAGGCGAAACAACTATGAAACTGCTGATGAACGTTCAAGATCGTGAAATGGTTGCACATCCTACAGATCCCGTGGAAATTCGGCGGATGAATTATCAGACACCAGCCATGCTCAGTCATCCCCCTATACCTGTATCAGAACTAGCCAATCACATTGACCGATTGAAGACTAATGACAACATGCTCTTTTCTCAGGAATATGAGGTGAGAATACAAGTTATTTAACTATCCCATACATATATGCTACAAATCTATATTAAATGTTATCCTATACATATCGATATCATGCTTATCAACAACTATAATTTTATATTTATACCATGCATATATTATATTTATCCTATACAAATCGATATTATTTTTATCCTATACATATCGATATTATATTTATCCTATACAAATCGATATTATATTTATCCTATACATATCGATATTATATTTATCCTATACAAATCGATATTATATTTATCCTATACATATCGATATTATATTTATCCTATACAAATCGATATTATATTTATCCTATACATATCGATATTATATTTATCCTATACAAATCGATATTATATTTATCCTATACATATCGATATTATATTTATCCTATACAAATCGATATTATATTTATCCTATACATANAAAAAATTTTTTTTTTGCAATAACGGACCCTATTTGCACAAATTCATAAAAGCGGACCCTGATTGAAAAAATGTGAGTAATTTTTTTAGAATTTCACGAAAAACGGACCTTTCCCAAAATGTCTGGACAGACCCCTGAAATCTATATTAAATGTTATCCTATACCTATCGATATCATGCTTATCAACAACTATAATTTTATATTTATACCATGCATATATTATATTTATCCTATACAAATCGATATTATATTTATCCTATACATATCGATATTATATTTATCCTATGCATATCGATCCTAATGCATCGAAGGAAATGATCGCATATTAATTTATTATAATATGGGGAGATACCTGGAAAACGTAAAATCATTTAATGGTGAAATAGTAGTCGTATTTTATTTACACGCACTAGAACTGCACTAATGAGCTTTTGGCGACACTCTTAAGAAACATCGCGAAAGACATGTCATCACAATTTTGATTCTTTGTAGAGGGGATGGCTTCCCAGGTTTAATAGCCCCACGACCAACGCGTGAAGTCGATAACTTTATGGTAAAATTCTTTATCGAGGACGGATACCGTGCGCCCTTGGTCCCTTCGCAGTCTGATCAAAGTGGTCACCCATTCACTCATTGCTTGACTTCGACGATCTACTGTAAACCGTGCCTTACTGTGGAACTAATGATGAAATAGAATACTGACAGGATAGAGCGTTCGCCTTCCATTGAGGTGAACCGGGTTCGAATCCTAGCCATGGCTGGTCGATATGAATTCCGCACCAAACTCGCACCGACCACAGTGCTGACGTAAAATATCCCTCACCAGACTCACACCGACCACAATGCTGACGTAAAATATCCTCAGTGGTAGAGGGTTCATAGGTTAGAGTCCCCTATCCGTCAGGCTAACCGTGGAAGGTTTTCGTGGTTTTCCTCCCAGTGTAATGCAAATGCGGTTTAGTTCCATCGAAAAGTCCTCCACGGTGACAAAATTCGTCCAGTACTTGATCCAGCAGTTCCCTTGTCTTCTGGATTGGGTTAAAAATTGCAAAGCTACGGAGTTGAACATTAGTAGTCGTAAACCCAAAATTTGGTCAGCTATTCAACTACCCTAATAATATAATAAAATAATGCTAATAATATAAAATGAAATAAAGTTGAAAAATAAAAAAGAACCGAACAGGTTTTACTTACAGATTTTTAGTGCACAATTGTTTGCAGTGTAACAAATAAAATTTTTCCAAACTTTTAATATTATTTGAAAACATTGAAACTTTTTATAAAGCTATTTTATTGTTGATTTCCTTGCTTTATAAACCTTTTGGACAATTTTTCACATTCAAAAATAAAATGAATCAAAAAGGAGAAAATCTATATTAAAAAAAAGTTTTATTGGAAAACGCAATTGAAGTTCACATTTCTGAATGTGAATGTTCCCCACTGTAGAATTCTATAGATTTTCCTATTACTTCCGAAACAGTCGGAACCTAATAAAGAAGATCTATGGTAGTTTGAGTGTGGTAATATTGATTGTTATGGCGAGGATTGCCGTGTCTTTCGTTGAATTAAGATCGTTATCGTCGGCCATAAATGTAAAGCATAGCATAGTTAAGCTTTATTTGCTGTTAGAAATGTAACAAGTTAACAGTGAGAATATTTTCGTTAGTTCGGGAAAAATAGCTCCGATTTCTTCACAGGTTATATCTTGTTTGTGAAAATAGAAAGGTTTGTTAGAGATATTTTCAGAATAGATCATTTAATAAAAATCTTATTTTTAAGTTCATTAGTCCTATTTATTTCACAAAAATTACTTTTCGAATTATAGTGTCGTAGTTGTAGTTTATTTACGTAGCACTAGAGCTGCACGATGGGCTATTGGCGATGGTCTGGGAAACATCCCTGAGGTTGATCCGAAGACATGTCATTACAATTTTTATCTTCTACGGAGGGGATGACTCCCCGCTCTGGTAGCCCAACGACCTGCGCGCGAAGTCAAGCACTTTACTGTGAAACAGTATAACGAGGACCGATACGACACACCCTCGGTCACTTCACAGGCTGAATTAAATGGTCACCCACCTGCACACTAATAGCAGCCAGTAATACTATATTTCGGTGATCTACTGGGAACCGTACCTTAACGATCAGTCCTCTGCAAGACTGCATACCCTCCAACTGCTACGGAATTTCCGTAGTTTCAGAAATTTTCGTTTCAGACGGTAGCAAAATTAATGTCCTAATATTTAAAAAAAATTAATTTTAGCGTAACTTGTCCACTATTACTTATAAAAGTGCAGGCCATATGGCTAGATTCTTAAGTTCTGATAAAAGTTTTATGAGAGATCCATTTGCTTTTAAAATGTCTACTTTGGTTCGCTACCACTAGAAAGAATTATTTTCAAAATCCTCATAAGTTGGAGGGTATGAGACTGAATTATATTAACTGATAAAAACAAGCCAATAGAATAACAGTACATTTTTTTTTTACTTAATTAGTGATAAAATACACTGCTTAAAACGATTAAAGGATATTGCGGTTGTGGATTGATCATGAAGAATTGTTTGAATGATTGATACATTATCGACAGACGTAGTAGGCTATATGAGATCATCCTCAAGGATTTTTCCCAGACCGTCGCCAATAGCCTATTGTGCAGCTCCAGTGTGACGAAAATAAACAACTACTCATTAATTCAGCAAAGCTATAATATGTAATATTTTGATTACTAGCTCAAAATTCAATGCGCGGACTTTCAAGTGTACGCGCGCTGTACAAGTTTACTAATATTTTGCACATTATATAATATAACTATCTTGTTATTTTTTCCAGTCTATTGAGCCAGGACAACAGTTTACGTGGGAGAACTCAAATCTTGAGATCAACAAGCCAAAGAATCGTTATGCCAATGTGATTGCTTACGACCACAGTAGAGTGATACTTCAACCATTGGATGGAATACCTGGTTCAGACTACATTAACGCCAACTACTGTGATGGGTATCGTAGACCGAAAGCTTACATTGCAACTCAGGGGCCTTTACCGGAAACATTTGGCGACTTCTGGCGAATGGTTTGGGAGCAAAGAAGTGCTACTATAGTCATGATGACTAAATTAGAAGAAAGAACTAGAATTAAAGTAAGACTTCCTAACTACTATTTATTGGATAAGTTTACTTGAATGTTAACTTCCGTTTAAGAATTAACTATTGAATTGGATTTTGAATTGCAAAGCGTATTCTTGTAATTAAGACGTCATTATTTTCATGACTCATACAGGTTGATTATGGAGATTCTAGACAATTATGCATATGCGATTACCAGCATTGTGGAATGTGTAACAATCTACTGGAAACTCAAAAGTCGATTATGAAACAAAAGGAAAAAAAATTTGAATAAAGACGTTAAACAACCTTCTCGAAAATGTTTATTTTCGAGTCACCGGAAGAGGCGTCATACTATCAAATTTTGCTAAGAATATTGAAAAAAAAAAAAATGACCGGCGATTTTTAAGTAACACGGCAAATAAAAATGTACACTTCGTTGCTATGTTCCGGAAACTAGATACTTATTCACACTAAGTTTCACAATTCTTTCTAAAGTTTGTCAACAGATGGAGCGAGTAACATAGGATCTCTTTCTATTATAAAACGCTCTAAAAACCGCCAACACCAATGCCGTTTTAGGTGTTAATGTTTTTTTTTTTTTTTTTTTTTTTTTTTTTTTTTTTTGTTACGCAAAAACTATGACTTAGAAACTTGAAACTACAAAGATGTGTAGAAAAATGCACAAGAAACACAAAAAATTAAGCATTCGATAATTGGTTTAAAAATTATTAACCGTTAAACTTGTGAAAATAAAGCACCAGACGAGCCGCAAGTAGAAATGATTATATTTATTTAGGAACGATGAATAAATCTATTTATTTATGTATGATCATATTTATTTATCTCATAGTTTTTTTTTTTTTTTTTTTCAAAATTCTGAATCTATGTTATTTGCAATTTTAAATGATTTNTTCAAAATTCCAATTTGTTTCTGAAGTTGTTTTTATTTTAAGTGCTTTTTTTGCTTTACGTTACATTTTGCTTTGCAGCACAAACCTATAAAACTTAAAATTGCGGAGGTATGTGGAAAAAAAAAAGCAGTGGAAGTGCGATGAAATAAAAAAAAAATTAAGATTCGACAATAAGTTTGGGAATTATTTATTGACTGTCTAACTTGAAAAGGGAAAAAAACATGTTTGGTCAATCTGTAGCCCGCTGAAATGCATCTACGGAGTCAAAATTTGACGTTCCGAAAGTGCATTTTTATTTGTAAACTTAACGCAAATTTTGTTTCGGAATTCCATTTTGTTCGAAAGTTATTGCAAATTTAAGTTGTTTTTGTTTTTTTTTTTTAGATTTTTTTCAGCTTTTTTCCTTTAACTATTGACTATTAATCCATTGTTGAAGAAAAGTTTTCTCTCGCGATATCTTAATTTTATAAACATTCGCTCCTATATATGTCAATCAAAAGTAGTAAAAAGAAAGAGAGATTACGTATTGTCAGATGTAAATCTCAGCATTTGTAGTGAAAGTTTTAAAAGTAATAAAAACTTAATAAAGAGTGATATGAAACGTTTTCTATTTGAATTGTTATAAATTTCATCAACGTGTTAAATTACTTCTCGTTCATTTCGTATTAAGTTGCACATTTTGCGTTCTTTAAGTTAAACTTTTTTTTCGAGCTCAGATTATTAGTTTTCAAATACAGGTTCGTTATGATTAACACATTAATAAAATGCTCTTACATTAAACTTCGAGCAACAATTGTGTATTTCTGAAACAAAATATTCTGTGCTTTCGTGGAAAATATTGACGTTTAACAGAAAAATAACAATGATGAATGAGAAACAATTACCGGGGTTGGTGGACTGAGCGAGTAGGGAAAAGAGCCTCCCAGTAATTATAAGCAATGTTTACAAAATGAAGACCATTTACGGCAACTACGTGGCACTGTCTAAAATCAAAACTGACAGAAACCTGCTTAAGTATTTCAGTTAATGGCCAACAGCAGATGATATTTTTTTATAGTTTTCAAGTCATTAACGCCATCTGTTGAGAAGCTTTGTGTCTAATTTTGAAACTTGATAATAAAATCGCTGATCTCCTGAGCAGAAAGCAGTGAATCGTATATTTTAATCTCTTTCGATTACTTTACTAATTTTTCTCAAATTTTCAATGATTTTGGTGGCATCCCGTACTATACGTATTTTTTTTTTAAATCTATAAACCGCTTATCGTAATTCCTAATTTAGTTTTGATAACTTTTAGCACATATTTATTTTATCAACTATTGCTTCTTCAAGTAAAAATATTTTTAGTGTTGACACAGTTCAATTAGATAGCGTTTCTAAACTATATTTTTACATAGAAAATATTTTTAAACCACCATAATATTAACGATAAATTCTTTTTTCGCCTTATATGTCATAGATATTCTATATTATTAACAATCTCTATAAATTTAATAATAATAATAAAGAAGCAAGATTTCACTTTATAAATTTTTGCTTGTTTATTTCGTCCCACAACTCTTAACTTCATTTAATGTATGAATGAAATAAAGTTTGCTTTAGTTAAGGAAAGATCTGAATTTTAATTTAAAAGTTACTTAAAATTTAAATATGCAAACTTTATATGAATAGGGCACAACTCTCTACATAGAAATAAAATTGAATCAACCAAACTATCATGTTCATACAAGTCGTTTCTGTCTCATTTTAAAACTAGTACACATCCTATACTAACTAGCACCTAACTAGTAAAACACCTTGTTTTTAATGCAAAACAAAGAAATCCACAAATCAAACAAGATAAGGAAAAACAATATATCCATTTAAATCCAAGGCTCTGTTTCTCAACGCGAGCAAAGATGGCACTAAACCACTATTCGAATAAATCTTTTACATGTTCAAAAATCTTAATTTCATGCACAATGAAATAAAACTTGCTTTCCAAAGGCTATTAATTCTTCGAGATAGAGGACTTGCTGGAATATTGATTTTCTCTAGTAATCTTCATGAATATTAATTTTCTATCGTAAACCTGCTTATGAATAAACTGTTTCTGATTTGGAGCAAACAAAAAACTTTTTCTAGATTTGTAAAACATATTCTTTCTCAAAATACGTATTTATTTTGAAATATATATACATTGTTATACGGAGGCAAAAACGAATGATTAAATGTTTGATTATTTATAAAATGAATAAGATTTTATGATTAATGTATTTATTGAATAGATCTCCTTGTAATTTAAATCTATAACTCATTTTCTTTTAAAATCTATAAATCTATAATAAATATGAATTTCAATATTATACAAAATATTTTAATTTTGTTTACAGATGGATTAATGTTATAAATTGTAACAATAATATAAACCTCGTAGATACAAGTTATACTTCAAGACTACTTTCTAATTTTTTTTTTCTTATTTTGGTTGAGAAGGGGTAGAAATATGATTAATGCTTACGTAAAACACAAAATTCCTTTTTTTTTTTTTAATCCCATGGAGTTGTAAGAATTAATAAATTAAGAACAGTATTTAAATATTCTAATTCTTCTACCCCTCTTCCTAACATCTTAATTAGGTTTGTTGTTGTTGTTTCTAATGGTACTTGGTCACACGGGCAAGCCTGCTTGGTGAAACTGAGCAAATTTAAGGCAGAGTGAGCGTTTCTTGTTTTTCAGTGGCGCCATCTATGGCCAAGAATTCGACTTCTGCCACACCATACGTCGCACCCGTTTTATAGGCCGGACCCATTCATACATCCATTCACTCATCCACAGATCGTAATTTTGATCTGAATCAGAGAACGATCGATCTCCAATCCAGTACCCCCAGAGGTATTGATTTGTTATGGGAACATGGAGGACTTCTGTGACTCGACAGATTTAACGTGCATCAGTCACTTTACTACACGGGGAGTCTTCGGCCGACGGGGTTCGAACCCACGAACTCTCGGACATAGGCCCAACGCCCTACCGACCAGGCTATCCCGACACTTAATGAGGTTTAAACATTATTAACCAAATTTTTCAACCATCTAGCCGTTGCCCGCGCGAAAGCACTATGATTACAATTTTAATTATATTCAAGAGATGTCCGAGAGATGGTCTAAGTTCTTTGTGTATTGAATTTTAGTAATTTAAAATATGTCTGTCAGCCGTTATAAATCACCGTTGCACATTTTGCGTTCTTTA